ACCATTGCTCAGGTGGTAGAGTGCTAGACCAGGCCCCAAGTTCAATCCCCAGGACTGGCAAAACCAACACACACACACACACACACACACACACACACAAAGAAATAAAGAAGTGGAATGTTATATCTGAGAACAAAACTTCCACAGGGAGAGAGTGCACTGACCTTCACATTTTACTTTTAAAGACGATGCCTCCTCAGTCAATAATGAAGTTGCTGAGATGAAAACTGGCAAGAAGTTTACTTAAATCTTGCTTCTAAGATCAGAAGTGATTTTTTTTTGTTTTTGGACAGAGTTTCTAAAAGAGAAGGGAAAGGCTGAAATGCTCATGTCTTGGGGAAATTTGAATATTTTTCTGCAAATTTGCAGTTTTCCCTTTCTGTTAACTGTTTTCTAGTAAATCTAGTTTTCTAAATTCTCAAAAAAAAAAAATTGGAGCTGGAGCAATAGAATGAAAGAATTGCCCCCAACCATCTGCAGAGGCGGCGGGCTTTCTGTTTCTTCAGCTGGGCGATGCTTGATGCGGCATCCACTTTGCTGTGTGTCTGGGAAGTGCGCTTACCTGTACACACTTGGCCAGGTGAAGGGTGGGTTGTGCAACAGCAAGAGGTGTGCACAGACCGACCGAAAGGCACCATGGGATGCCCACGGGAGCAGATCCAGCTACTCCACGGCTCACATGGACAGCTTGATTTCCGGTCCTGCATGGGGCAGATGAGAGGAACACACAGCCTGAGAAGAAGGGTCTGGAGGCTGGCCGGCAGGGGATCAGCTGCACTCTTCTGCATATTCCTGGGGGGCCCCTCCAGGGGCGGAAAGCAGCTGCGTTAGGAAAACCAGAGGAGGAAGGCTGACTCAAGGGTGGGAGACGTGGGGAGGGGGGTTCAAACTGCAGATCTTGCTCTAGGGTCCCCCCACCCCCATGGGCTCCAGGGCCAAGAGGTGTGATTGTCCTAAACCTCAGAATAACAGCTGGACACCTGTAGGCAGCCCTGCTCCATGAGGAGCTCTGTGTCCTGCAGGACCAGGAGGAAGAGCTGTTGGAGGCACCAGGAATCACCAGCCATGGAGCCCCAGGCAGCCCCAGCAACACCTGGCTGAGGGCTGGCCCAGCCCTGCCTCGAGGTGTGTGAAGCCACCCAGCAAATCGCCCCAGCAGGGAGAAGAATGTGAGGTGTCCTAGTTGGGTTAGAGGGGCTCTGGGCTCCAGAGTTCATCGTCAGCCTTGAGCAGCTGTTGGAGAAGAGTCTTCAGGTCCTCCAAGAAGCAGGGAGCTTGTGAAATCTCCCGAAAGCTTCCTGGCTCAAACCCGGTTGGACCACCGTGAGCCTTATCAGGACCTGAATCAGTAGGAAACACCGGAAACACAAACAAGCCAGCCAGTTCTTGGGAAGGCCAGGTGGCAAGAGTGGACAGATACATTCACAGGAGTAATTATTGGGAAGCAGCTTGAAATGTGATTCCACAATAAGTAAACAAGGGAAATAAAAGCATTATCTCATAGAGACATCTGCACTCCCACAGTCCCTCAGGGTGAGGCACCATTACTAAGTGATTAAAGCAATTTAAGAGTCTATCTAGATAAAGAAAATATGCTTCGGACAAGTACCTAGGCTCTTATCTGTAATCCCAGCACTTAAAGTGTTAGAGGCCGGAAGATTGAGAGTTCCCTGACAGCCTGGGCTACATAGAGAGATCCTGCTTCAACACACCAAGAAACAAACAAGGAAAAGTGTGATACAAATGCACACTGCAGGGGCTTCATGGATAATCATTTCACAATGTATCCATGTATCAAACCTCTCATTGTGCCTCTTATATATGCTTCTAAATAACCAATAGGTGGAAACAAAAATATTTTTAGGTGTTGGAGGCATGGCTCAGGGGGTAGAGTACCAGCCAATGAGTGAAAGCATCAGATACCAAGTTCAAATCCCACTCTCAAAAAAAAACAACGTATTTTTATCTTAAAAGAAATTTAAACAACAACCATAACAACAACCACCATGAATGGAGTAAAAAAATGAAAGAACATAAAATGTGTGGCAGTCAGCCAAAACAGTGCCAAGAGGGAAATTTATAGCCTAAATGCTTCTAGTAGAAAAAGATAAAGTCTTAAACCAGTAATCTAGATTTCATCCTCATGAAACTAGGGAAAGGATCAGAAGAAACTCAAACCAAGAAGGAGGAAGAAAACAGTAAGGATACACATAGAAAATAATGGAATTGGGAGTAAAGAAAAAATAAAGGAAAAGCAACACAGAAAAAATCTTTTTTTTTTTTATTGTGAAAATACCGTACAAAGGGGTTACCATTACAAGGGCAAGATAATGAGTACATTTCTTTTTTTGGGGGGGGTCTGGTTGTGGGGCCTGAACTCTGGGCCTGGGAGCTGTCCCTCAGCTCTTCAGCTCAAGGCTAGTGCTCTACCACTTGAGCCACAGTGCCACTTCCGGCTTTTTTCTTTTTGCTTATGTGGTACTGAGGAATCGAACCCAGGGCCTCAGGCATGCAAGGCAAGCACTCTACCACTGAGCCACCTTCCCAGCCCAACGAGTACATTTCTTATCAAGCATTGTTGCCTCCTCCTTTGTTTCCCCTTCCCATCCCTTCCCATCTCCCCCCGCCCCGTCCCCCCACAGCAAAAAATCTTATTCTGAGTCATGTGTAGGAATGGGATAAATCTGGGCCTGAGACTTGAACTCAGGGCCTGGGCTCTATTGGCAGAATGTTCAGTGTCCCTCCACTGCTCCTGCCCTAGCCTGAGCTCAACGTCTGATCCCCGGCTGGGGGCCTCTGCAGCCAGAAGGACTGTATGCAGACAAGGGTACACGATATGCTCTTTCCCCCTCCACCCCCCCCTCACCGCCCCCTTCAGCTCCCCCAGGGCACTTGGAGTAGAAGCCAAAATCCTGTGACACCCAATCAATCCCACAGGGTACCCCTCCCCCTCTCCACTGCGTCATGGACATGGCAGGCAGGTTTCTACCTCGGGGCCTTTGCACTGGTGGCGCTGCCAAATATTCTCCCAGCAAAGGATCACATTGTCACCGCCTTCGAGACTTTGCTCAAATAGCCACCTTCTCTGACCACCCCGTGTGAAATAGCCGTGGGTCTTGCCCTGCATTTCTAGGGGCCCTCGTGCTGCTTTGCGTTTTTCTCCCAGTTTTGTACACCCCTTAACACACCCACTTAGAATTCACTCATGCTTACTGCTTGCTGCTGTCTCTTTCCAGCAAGGAAAAAAAAAAATTGCTCCTCCAAGACAGGTTTTGTCTCTTTCCTTCATGGTATATTGCCAGTGCCTAGAAAAGTTCCAGGTAGTCAGCGGGGGAGCGCTGGCCCTGCACGCACAAGGCCCTGGGCCCAGCCCCAGCACAGAAGACAACAAACCAGCACACACATACTGTGAAAGTAATGAAGTGATGTGGGGCTTGTCTATGACTCATGTGTGGCAGGCTTAAAGCCCCAACTGCCAGCGTAAATAGGAAGAAGGGAACAGAAGGAGTTACCCCCAGGACACCCAAAGTTTGGGGCTCCCCACTGACTTGCTGTGTGACCAGTCATGTCGCACCCCCTCTCTGGGCCTTTGTCTCCCCCTGGCTACAGGAGGAAGGCTGGGCCCTGGGTCTCTGAGGGCCCAGCTCTGACATTTGTTGGCTTTTTGATGTCACTTTCCATTAGAAATGCAAAGTAGCTCGGGGAGGGGGGGTAGAGGCATCCGAGGGTCCTGAGACCCAGAGACTGGCTGACTTCTCAGCCTCGGTGGTCATTCCTGGAACACGGGTGTGCCACGCTCGGATCTGTGCCCTGGGGATGCTGGCACGAAGGAGGCGGTGCCCTCAACGCTGCCTGATCCCTCAGCCGGCTCTTAACCCACAAAGCAAAGGCTTTGCTTCAAAGCCAAAACAAATGAACGAAAACTTACGCAAACTCTCCCACCCCCAGTTAACGCCTGAGGCTCACCGCGTGTGCCTGACCCGGGCACCTCGTGTTCAGGCCTGCCCAACCCCTCTCGGCTGGAATCATCCCATTAAGTAGGCAGAGCCCGGCACCCAGCGCCCAGGCGAGCATTCTCTGTGCAGGTAGGACCCACCCCTGTTCTTCTGATCAGCCGCAGGAGGCCCGAGGTTCGAGGCCCAAAGGCCAAGGCTGGTGTGTAGAGGGAACACCGACTGTCGGGCTCAGGCCCCAGCAAGTCACTTTTCCTCTCTGGGCCTCCATTTTCCCTTTTGTAAAATGGGTTGAACTCAAACACCCATACATCCTCCTACAGGAAGCAGCTGTGCGGGCCTCTGGACCACACGTGTGGCGTGGGCAGTAGCTAATAAACTTGGCGTCTGGAGCCTTGGGACCTTTGGATGAAATCCTCCTCACTCTGCCATTGAGTGGCTGTGTCATCCCCCTGCCCCTCAGTTTCTCCTCCTTGTAAAATGGGTGCTGACCTCAGACTGCAGCTGTGAGGATGAAAGGAGGGGTGGAAAGAAAAAAGCACCTACTTCACAGGTGGGTGAGCTGGGGGGCAGGTATGGAGCGAAGGCCGGTGGGCAGCTCAGGAGGGGACTGTCCTCCTCCCTGGGATGAATGTATGACCCAGGTTGCGGTCTCCTGCTTAACATGGCTGCTTTCCTCGCCTCTGCTCCCCCCACCCCGCCCTGAGTGCCCCTGTCGGCTGGGGGTGGGCAGGATTCTGCTGTTTCTGGCCCCCAGCAGGGATGGACTAAAGGCATCAGCCTTGCCACCTACAGGCCTCATTCGCAGGCTGCAGACTTCGCAGTCCTGCCTGGGAAATGGATTACCCCCTACCAGCAACTGCTGCACTGATGCCCATCTGGGGGTCGCTGGGACAGCCCCAAGGCAGGAGAGCCCGGGCAGTCCACACCCAGGACTTCAGCGGGGAGGGCTTGGCAGCCGGGGCCGCAGGCCACAGGTGCTGACTCATGGCCCGGCTGGGTTTGTATAAAGGGAGCCACTCGGGGACTTCCTGCAGCTGGCCAGAGATGGCCCAGGGGACAGTGATCCATGTGGCCCCAGAGCAGCCAACGCGTGCCGTGTGTGTGCTGGGCACCGCGGTACAGCTCGACGTCCACAGGTGAGGGGGGGCCTCCCGGGGTGTGCGGGGCCACAGCCAGTGCTGCCCACACATGGGTTGGAGCGGGGTGGGGGGAGCCTCCATCTTCATGCCCTGGAGCTGGGGAGACAAGGACGTGAGCATAGAATATCTGTGGGGCAAACACAGCTGTCTGAGACGGTCAGTGCTTCGCCCCCAGGGCCACACAGCCGGTGTGGGCTGGAAGGGAGGCTGGAACCCAGCCAGCTCCCTGACTCATGGGGGGCTCACACGGCTGGCTCTGACCCCCTCTCAGCCAGCCTTCCTGCGTGGGTTCATAAGAGTGTGACAGGGCGGCATGTTAGCAAGGAGATGTGGCAAGATAGTATGGCAGGCCAGGTACCAGCGGCTCATGCTTGAGGCTGAGATCTGAGGATCCAAATTCAAAGCCAGCCCAGGAAGGAAAGTCCAGGAGACTCTTATCTCCAATGAACCACCAAAAGTGGGGTGTGGCTCACGTAGTAGAACACCATCTCTTAAGGGGAAAAACTAAGGGAGAGCTTGAGGCTTGAGGCTCTGAGTTCAGTTCCCAACACTGATGCACGCATGCTTGCACATGTGTGCGCACACACACAGTGAGTGTTGGTGTGGCAGGGCAGTGTGGCCGTGGCTTCTCCTTGGAGTGGGAAAGGCCAGTGGGAGATGGAGGAGGTGCCCCAGCTTCCGGGTCACCCCATCTGTGCAGGGGTTATAGGGATTCATGGGAAGCCTGGGAACATGTTTGTTAGTCTAGCCCTGGCTGGCAGAGTGCCGGTAGTTGCTCCGTTGTCATTCGATTGTTTGTTCATTCATTATTCATTCATCCATTCAATAAATACTGGTGCAGGAGCCACGTGGGTGTGGCCCCGTGCCAGGCTCTGGGTTGCACAAGCGGTAGAGGACGCGCTCCAGGAGCGTGCATGGCATCATCTTTGTTGGTGGCAATCGTGGTGGCAGCCCAGGCTTCCTCCCTGAGCTGGGCCCCCCCAGCTGGCAGGGTGCCCATGGGCATGGCTGAGAATCTCCCTGCCAGGCCACTCGCTGCCTCACCCCGCAGCTGAGTCGCCTCAGAGGCCTGGGTGATCTGTCTGGGCCACGGGGGCTGCGAGAACCTGAGAGGTTCCCTTCATTTGAAGGGCAGCAGGCTAGAGATCACTCCGGGCTCGACTCTTCAGAAGGAGCCTACTTGATGGCGCGGGTAGAGGACAAGGAAGGGGCCAGAGCTAGCCCAGGCCCCTGCTTACATGCCCAGGCCGGCCCTCTCCTTAGTGCAGAGGAACGGCAGGTCAAACTCACAGATGCTTCTGGATGTGCGTGGGAGGGGGGAGACTGTGGGGCTGGGCCAAGAGGAAGGCACTGCCACACCCCTCAGAAAGAGGAGGTTCCCAGGTCCCGGTGTCTCCCCCAGCCAGTGAGCCATGTTATGTGTCCCCTGAGTGTTTCCCAGAATCATGGCTTCTGTTCAAACCACACCCCTACCTATCGCAGTGGCAGGAGCCTTTCCCAGCTCCCAGAAGGGGAAACTGAGGCTCTGAGCAGTGAAGCAGCCTGGGAGAGCTGCACAGCTGGCCAATGGGGTGGGAGGTAGAGGTTCAGGACCCCCTCACCCCCATCTTCTCTGTCCCCTCTCACCCACCTGCCCTAGCTGCCCCAGCCAGCAGTTTCCTCCCACCTCCTCCCTCACCCCTGCCTAGGCACCGCGGCACCTCTGCTCTGCTCTGTCTGGTCCTGGGCTCAGAGGTCCAGGGCTGGGCAGCAGGAGGTGAAGCAGGCCATGGCCACACGTGTGAGCTGCTCCCAGTCTGCATCTTCTTTCCTTCTGAGTTTGGAAAGAACTTTCCCTGCAAGGGAAGATGCGTGGATTCTATTCAAACCAACCCCTGGCTGAGCTGCACGGCAAACCTGCCCCCCTTCCAGGCCCTCTGTGCTCCCCAGGCAGGGAGACCTGCTCAAGGGCCCTTTCCAGCTAGCTTCTAATCTTTCTAAAAACCTGCAAAGTGTGTGGGGTGGGGGGAGCCGTGAGAATATGACGGCAGAGAGCAGAGAGAGGATATTCTGGAAGAGGCCATGAGCCAAAAACACAGGTGACTCCTGGAGGGCTCAACAGGCAAGCGCTTGGGGTTGGAGTCGTGGCTCAGGTGGTAGAGTGCCAGCCAGTGAGTGAAAGCATCAGGTAATGAATTCCAGTCCCAGTGTCAGACGGAAAAAGAAAGGAAAGAGGAGGGTGCGCTCAGTCCTGTGGAACCCCACGTGGCTCTGTGGCCTGGGCACTGCGTGTGCCACGTGGTGCCACGTGAGTTCCCCCCGGGGCAGCGGTGCTTCGTCGCGGCCGTGAGGGACGCGGGAAAGCGGTGTCACTGGAGGTGAACGCGTCTCGAATGCGTGTTTGCTGCGCTCTGGGAAGACAGTGGGAAAAACCTACATCATCAATGAAAAACAACAATGAAAGGAACAAAGCAAGAGGCGACACGTTCCAGATTTACATGCGGTGCTGGGGCCGTTTTGCCCCGGATGGTACCAACAGGGACACTTCTGGGCTCCTCAGGACACGGCTCCTAACTAGCCCTTGTGCTCTTCTCCCCAGCTCGGTGTGGGAAGGTGGCGTGGGAATTTGGGGACCCTCTCCTGTCCCGATCATCTCCCGCCCAACTTGGCTTTCACGAGGGGTGAAGCCTGGGGCACGTGTCAGCAGCCGGTCACCTATCTCCATGTGGCCATCAGGATGCTGAGTGGGCAGGGTGCTGTCTATCCCGTGTCACAGATGGGAAAACTGAGGCTCAGAGTGGCAAAGTGCCTTACTTGTCCAGGTCCTTGGGTGTGCAGGTCCGACCCTGCCTGGTGTCCCCCCACGATTGATTGCTTCTCTCCCTCTGCGCTTGTCCCCATCCCGCCTGTCCTGCACTGAGTGAATCTCCACGTGTGGTCCAGAGAACTTGGAAATGCAGGTTCCCGGCCTCCCCTGCGCTCTCTGGGGCCCCACGATGTGTGCTGACCTCTGCACACTCGCTGTGCACACTGGGCGTGCATCACGGCTGCCGTTTTCCTCTGCGGTGGGTGGGACCGGTTCATTCAACAGACTGAGGAGTGGGGAGTGCGTTACTCAAGAGAAGGCAGAAGTGATGAAGCTGGAGGGAGGGGGCGGGTGGGGAGCAGGAGCAGGGAGAATTCTTTCTGGAAGGGGCCATGATTGGTCAATGGGATCCAGTACTTGGGTGGGCAGGGAGAGGGGGTAGGATAGGTTCTGGAGGGGAAGGAAGAATGGATGATCATGAGGCTGTCTGTGGAAGAGGAGGCCTAGAAATGTCCACTGTGGGAGACACCTAGAAGTGGACGAGATGGGAGGTGAGAGGCGATCCTGACAACCCCTTGCCCAGCTCAGGGCTGGCTGCAGGGTCCCGGGGTAGAGGGAGAGAAGATGTTGGGTCCTGATTAAGGAGCTGTTGAAGGCAGAGACACAAGGACCAGGCAGATCTTGGTCAACCCAGTCCCCCTCTTCACACAGAGGAGATGACCATTGCTGGCTTTCAGCTGGCTAACTGGGGGGCAGCAGGCCCGTGCATGCCACGTGTATAATTGGGGTCAGGGCTGAGTTGCTATTATTTATTTTACTTTTATCAATCAAGTGAATCTCCAACCCCATCTGGCATAAATTTGCATTTGCATTTTAATACTCATTAGTGAAGGGCTGAGCCTCTTTCTGCATTTATTGTCAGTTGCATGTCAATTTCTCTGAGTGTCTGCTTGTGTCTCCTGTTGATTTTCTCTGGTTCATTGGAAAGAAGGGTTTCACGAACTTTCCTACCCAGGCTGGCTTTGAAGGGTGATTCTCAGATCTCACCCTCTGGAGCAGCTAGGATTACAGTCCTGAGCCACCAGAGCCCAGCCTCCTGCATCTTTTTAGCAAGGATGCAAAGTTCTTCCCCATGAATTAAGATTTTTGTGCAGGGAGCTGAATTGTATGTGGTACGAGGCTGGGGTTGGCTTCTTTCATTGCTATCTGACGGAATGATTTCTCCGATGGATGAGTGAGGAGTGTTCTGTGGGCAAATATGACACAATCCCTCCATGCTAGTTCTCTGTCATAGATCAAGTAGACTTGCATCTTCCTTTTGTCCTGGCCCTAGTCATTATAACTCCTTCCAAATCTCCCCAGTGCTGTAGTAAATCTTCTACCTAGCAGGGAAGTCTCTCACCTTTTACCTCCTTTACTAAAGGTTTTCCATGTGAATTTTATTTTATTTTATTTATGTCAGTAGTAAGGCTTATACTCAGGCCTGGGCACTCTCTGTTTGTTTTTTACTCAATTCTGGTGCTCTACCATTTGAGCTACAGCTGCAGTTCTAGCTATTTTGGGGGTTGATTGGAGATAAGAATCTTTTGTTGGGGCTGGGAAGGTGGTTCAGTGGTAGTGCGCTTGCCTTGCATGCATGAGGCCCTGGGTTCGATTCCTCAGCACTACATAAGAAAAAAGAAAAAAGCCGGAAGTGGCGCTGTGGCTCAAGTGGTAGAGCGCTAGCCTTGAGCTGAATTGCTGAGGGACAGCGCCCAGGCACAGAGTTCAGGTCCCACAACCGGACCAAAAAAAAAAAAAAAGAATCTTTTGTATTTGTCTGCCTGGGCTGGTTTAGAACCACAATCCTCAGATCTCAACCTACCGAGTAAGGATAATTACAAGCATGAGCCACTAATATTTGACCTGCTGATTTTTAAAATAGTGGGTTTTGTTTATGTGAAAATGTTTTGGGTGGCTGGGAAGGCGGCTCAGTGGTAGAATGCTTGCCTTGCATGCATGAGGCCCTGGGTTCGATTCCTCAGCACCACATAAGCAAAAAGCCAGAAGTGGCACTGTGGCTCAAGTGGTAGAGCGCTAGCCTTGAGCTGAAGAGCTGAGGGACAGCGCCCAGGCCCAGAGTTCAAGCCCCATGACCGACAAAAAAAAATGTTTTGGGAAGATTTTGGGGAGATTGACTAATTCCAGGATAATGGTTCTCTTCTCAAAATACTACGGAGATGCCATTCCGTTGTCTTCTAGCTTTCATCGGTGCTATGTCTGCTTACAACTCAATCGCTATTCATGTCTGGATAGTCTGATTTTTCTTTCTGGATACTGTCAAGGTCTTCCCTTTGCTATATTAGTTAAGAATATCTTCTGGAGGGTGGGAAGGTGGCTCAGTGGTAGAGTGCTTGCCTTGCATGCATGAGGCCCTGGGTTCAATTCCTCAGCACCACATAAGCAGAAAAAGCCAGAAGTGGCGCTATGGCTTGAGTGGTAGAGCACTAGACTTGAACTGAAGAGGTGAGGGACAGCGCCCAGGCCCAGAGTTCAGGCCCCATGACTGGCCAAAAACAAACAAACAAAAACAAAAACAAACAAACAAAAAAAAAGCCTTGAGCTAAAGAGCTGAGGGACAGCACCCAGGCCCAGAGTTCAGGCCCCACAACAGACAAAAAAAAAAAAAAAAGAATATCTTCTGGAGAGTTGGCCTTTATCTCATGGTTTGTGACCTCTATTGATAATAATGTGGTCTTGTGGGGCTGGGAAGGTGACTCAGTGGTAGAGTGCTTGCCTTGAGCTGAAGAGTTGAGGGACAGCGCCCAAGTCCAGAGTTCAGGCCCCACAACCGGACCCTCAAAAAATAATAATAATGTGGTCTTGTCTAATAATTTATGTTTGTCTGATGTTAATATATCCAACGTGGCTTTCTTTGTTAATCTTTTGTGCTTTTCAGCTTAGCCATTGTGTGTGTGTGTGTGTGTGTGTGAGAGAGAGAGACAGAGAGAGACAGACAGACAGACAGACAGAGACAGAGAGAGGGGGGAATAACTTGAACTTTCTAGTTCAAGTTCAAGGCCTTCAGGTGATGAAGTCCCTTTTGTGTCTCTCATCACCCCCTGGCATATTCTCTCCCCCTCCTTGCTCCAGGGCAGAGTACACAGGGCCCCCACCTGGTGTTCACTGGGAAAAGGAGGAATCCCAGCAGAGCCAGGGTGGCCCCTTCCTCACCAGGCGCTGGGCCCGGCTCTGCCCCCTCCACAGCTCTGCCCCCAAGGACTGCAAGTCCTTCAGCATCTCCGCCTCCCCAGGGGTGGTTGTGGAAGTTACCCACAGCCCTCCAGCCAAGAAGAGCTCCACAGATTCCAAGTGGCCCCTGGTCCCCGAGCTGGAGGTGACTCTGCAGGTGAACACTGCCAGCAACAGCACCGATGACCAGAAGGTGAGCGTCCCAGCGGGTGGAGGGGGGAGGGATGGCTGCCAGCTAGCAGCTTCTCACAGTAGGGCCTGTCCTGGACCCTCGATGCCCACCCCAGGAGGGCTTCCTCGCTGGAAGGGCCCACGCCGGCTTCCTCCACCTCAGTGTCCTTGTGGGCAGTGATCTGGGGCTGCCAGGGCCTGTGGAGGGTGGAGTCTTGATTAAACTCATCCAATCAGAGACTATAATAAACGCCTGTGCATGCCAGGCACTGGGAAGAGAGGACTGAGCGTGGCAGGGAGGTTCCACCCCCTTGGGGCATCAGGTGATAACACAGGAAGACAGGAAGCGTTTTCCAGCTATGGTGACTTCCCGTAAACAGAGACAAGGAGCCCCAAGGAGCTCTGCCCACGTCCCGCACTGCTGCTGGTCAGCTGTGTGTGCTCTCGCTTCTGGAAACAAGGTGTCAGGAAAAACCAGATTCCTTGAGGCTGTGCTAAGCGGGGATCCGCTCCGTGCTCCTCTGGGCTCTTCCTGGGGACCCATGAGTGCCTCGTGACGTGTGGTGACATCACTTTCTGTGGTCACGTGACCTCCCCCTCCTCTCTGTGTCATCGCTCTCTGCCTGGTCGCTGGATTTAGGGCCCACTTGGTCATCCCAGACGATCCTTAATTCCCAGGCGCTAGGAATGAGGACATGGACTCAACTCTTTGGGGGCTTCCATCTAACCTACTAGAGGGCCTTTTGGCTGTAGATGGTCTCTCAACTAGACCTTCTAGGGTTCCCACTGCGACTGGAGCCACTTGTTCCTGAGGATCAAAACAGGAGTGCAAAGCTTGGGAACCCAGGCAGGTGTGGTCAAGGAAGGCTTCCTGGGAAACGTGGCAAATTGATGGCACCGGTGTGTGCCCTGTCTCGGCATCAGATGGTGAAATGCACATGGGAGAAACTGAGGAAGTCCTGTATGGTGAGGGAAGGGGGTGGAGAAGATGGCGAGGGAGAGGGATGGGGTAGCAGGGACCTGAGGACAGCAGACAGCCGGAGGAGGGTTCTTGGCTTGGAGTCACCAGCTGGCTGTGGACGAGACCTAGGAGCAGAGTTAAAGGCTGTCGCCATGGGCCAACTCACAGGTGATGTGGATTTCCCTTGTGAAGCACCCAGGGTTATTTTGCTTGGATAAGTCAATGCCCTCCCTCAACTGGCAGTTGGACCAATCGGATGTACTCTCCCTGAAATTCCTCCCCCATCAGTCCAGATGCCCTGCCCTCAACTGGCAGCTGGACCAATCAAATGTGTTCTCCCTGGGATTCCTCCCCTATCAGCCCAGATGCCCCGCCCTCATCTGGTAACCTGATCAGTCAGATATGTTCTCTGCTGGATTTTTATTTTTTTATTTTTGTCAGTTGTGGGGCTTGAACTCAGGACCTAGGCTCTGTCCTTGAGCCTCTTTGTGCTCAAAGCTAGTGCTCTACCTCTTGAGCCACAACACCACTTCCCATTTTTGAGTAGTTAATTGGAGATAAAAGACTCATGGGGACTTTTGTTCCTGGGCTGGCTTCAAACTGTGATCCTCAGATCTCAGCTTCCTGAGTAGCCAGGATTACAGGTGTGAGCCCCCAGTGCCTGGCTTGGATTTTTATTTTTAAGGGAATTTTATTTGAGGGATTTTTACTTTACTGTGACTGAGCCCAGGGACACACAAAAGCTAGGTCCAGTTTCTTCCACCGAGCTACGCCGCTCGAGTCCTCCCTAGATTTTGAAGCTGAATCAGAGGAGCCGTGATTTCTTCTTCTGAACAGCTCCTGCTCTGGAGCCCAGTGTCCATCCAGCGTTCCTTCTGCCTCAGGGTCCCTGTCCGTGTCTCGTGGCCATCGCTCTCCCTCTAATGACTCTTCACCCTGTCTCCAGCCCCCACTCACCTTCCAGGGCCCTATCAAGGTGTCCCTCTTTGTCAAGCCCCCAAGCCTTAGGCAGAGTGAACCCCTCCATTTCTGGGTATACCCCTCCATTTGGGGGCTCCTGCAGGACCCTCTCCTGTAGGGTCCTGGGCTGAACTGGGCTGAGCTGGCCCATAGAAAGGATGCATCCATGTTTGTTGAGTGACTAAAAGAAGTCATTAACAGTCTGCTTCTGGCTTACAGGTTCAGATTTCATACTATGGGCCCAAGACTTCAAGGGTCCAAGCCCTCCTCTACCTCACCGGAGTGGGTGAGTAATGACCTCCCGCCATATCTCACACGGACCAGGAGTCCTGTGGCATGCTGCAGGGAACACGGAGCCATGGGCTTGGGGTGACAGTGTGGTTATGTCCCTCACCAGGGTGACTCAGGGCTCTTCCTGACACCCCTGGGCATGGCCAGGCCTACAGGGTCACATCGGGGCCACAACCTTGGCACCCTGAATTTGGCCAGATAGTCCAAAGCCCCAACCTTCCTCTCGTAGCCAGTGGGGACCTGAGGTTGGGTGACCCAACCCGTAGACACAGTCTCCTGTCCACCCACACCTTACCTCTCCTGCTGTTCATGGGGTTTCAGAAATCTCCCTGCACGCAGACGTCACCCGCACCGGCAAAGCGACCAGCACCAGAGCCATGAAAGACCAGGTACTCACTGCTCAACCCTGCCAGGTTCTCCTATGGCGCCTCCTAGTGGGCAATAGGTAAACAGCAACGTGTCTTCTGCTTTGGATGCCAAATGCATAATTCCGAAAGACAGAAAATGAACCAGGCACAGGGGTGCCTACCTGTAATCCTGACACATGGGAGGCTGAGGCAGGTGAATTGCAAGTTGGAGACCAGCCTTGGACACATCATGAGGCCTTACCTCAGGGAAAAACAAGAACAAGAATCATTGGTGCTATTTTTTTTTCTTGCCAGTCCTGGGGCTTGAACTCAAGGCCTGGGCTCTGTCCCTGAGCCTCTCTGTGTTCAAGGCTAGTGCTCCACCACTGGAGCCATGGTGCCACTTTTTTCTGTTTTCTGGCTTTTTCTGTTTATGTAGTACTGAGGAATTGAACCCAGGGCTTTGTGCATGCTAAGCAAGCACTTCCCAGCCCTCTATCTATCTTTTCAAAGATCATATTTTGCCAGCAGTGAGTACACCGGATGTGCATTCCTGCAAGCTAGGTTCTCTATAATTACCCAGTGAATGCACAGCGCAGAAAAATTTCCTAGACAGGTGCCAGCCTTGCCTGGGCTGTAGTGACTGATGGGAAAAGTGTCCCATAGTGCCAACTACAGAGGTGGAGGACAGAAGGAAGGCAGCCAAATGGCACAGGGAGAGATGTGCACAGGAAGCCGGGTGCCGGTGGCTCACGCCTGTAATCCTAGCTCTTCAGGAGGCTGAGATCTGAGAATCACAGTTCAAAGCCAGTCCGGGCAGGAAAGTCTGTGAGACTCTTATCTCCAATAAGCCACTAGAAAACCGGAAGCGCTGCTGTGGCTCAAGTAGTAGAGCGCTCGCCTTGAGCTGAAGAGCTGAGGGACATCGCCCAAGCCTAGAGTTCAAGCCCCATGAATGACAAAAAGAGAGAGAGAGAGAGAGAGAGATGTGCACAGGGACCTCAAGGCTTAACCTGGGGCCTAGTGGGGGTGGGGATTGCTGCCCACCCACTTTTATGTGGGTAGAACGACAGAGTGGTCAGTGTAAAAGGACTGAGAATCCTTCGGAGGTCAGCCAAAAGGGTGGGGAAGTGCCGGGCACCAGTGGCTCACGCCTGTAGTCCTAGCTGCTCAGAAGGCCGTTACCTGAGGATGGAGAGTCAGAGCCAGCCTGGGCAGATAAATCCGTGAGACTCTGATCCCCAGTTAGCGGGCAAAAGGCTGGAACTGGAGGTGTGGCTCAAATGTTAGAGTGTCAGCCTTGAGTGGAAAAAGCCAAAGTAAGAGCATGAGGCCCTGAGTTCAAGACTCAGTATTAGCATACACACACACACACACACAAAGTGTGGGGTGGGGGGGCGTGGCTCCGTGGTAGAGCTCCTGCCTCAAGTGCACCATCCCCAGCACTGCAGAAATAGAAATAAAAACTAAAATGTCCCTGTGGGAAAGGCTGGGCGTTATGAACCCCATCCCTTAGCCCCACCTGGCCGGATGCAACCACCTGCCACCCCTCCCCCCCAGGGGGTGAGTATGCTGCTACAAAGCCCAGTCACCACCCAGGGCGGGGCCTTGCAGCCCGCCCCCGTCAGAGGCACGTGGGAGGGACCAAGGACAGCACAACGCCCACACAGCGGACAGGCTCGCACTCCTCAGGGTAGTCACTGTGTGGACTGAGGCTGGAGGGCAGATTCGGCTCCACTCAGTTGCTGAGCCAGCGTGTGTGTGTGTGTGTGTGTGTGTGTGTGTGTGTGTGTGCGTGCGCACGCGTGCGTCAGTCCCGGGGCTTGACCTGAAGGCCTGGGTGCTGTCCCTTAGCTCTTTCACTCAAAGCTAGTGCTTTGCCACTTGAACCATAGCTCCATGTCTGGCTTTGTGGTAGAGATAAGATACTCATGGGCTTTCCTGCCCATGCTGAACTGCGATCCTCAGATCGCAGCTTCTTGAGGAGCTGGGATGACAGGCGTGAGCCACCAGTGCCTGGCTGTCTCTAGGGTTTCTTTTTGAAGGGTGGCTGCATGGCACTCTGGGTAACTTTCCAGCCTGGGACTTCCTTGGTCTGGAGCATGAGGATTAAAGTGCATGAGGCCAAAGAGCGGGAGGGAGCCCTGGTTTCGCTTCTGGGCTGGGCTTGAGGTTCCTGAGTGCACCCCTCTTCTCCTGGCACTCCAGAGGACCTGGACCTGGGGCCAAGGTGGACAAGGTGCCATCCTGCTGGTGAACTGTGACAAAGATGACCCCAAGTCTTCTGCCCCGGACTGCGAGGATGATCATGTGGTGGACCACAAAGGTAAGCCCCCCCCACCCCGCTGGCCTCGGGGCCTTGACACAGCCCTGGACACCGGAGGGACTGCATGCACACTTCTACAGGTGAAGAAATAGACAAATGTCCAGAGAGGTCACATAACTCTCCCAAGTCACACAGCAGTCAGGGAAGAGCCAGGACCAACCCCAGAGCATCCCAGCTTCCACGCTGGCCCCCTGCTCTTCCCAAATGCCTGCATGTGCCTCACACCTGAGGTGCAAAGAAATGTAAAGAAAAGATGCCCCTGATTCCCTGCCATCTACCAGACCTTCTCTGAGCACTGTATAAGAAGCCATTCATTTGAGCCTTTGATGCAAGACTTAACAAATGGGGAAACAGAGGCATGCAAAGGCTAGATCTCTTGTCCAGGGCCACACAGCTAACCATTAGCAGACTGAGGATCCAAACCCCAGGGGTGCTGCCCTAAGGCCAGGTTTGGGGTACAGGGATTGTGGTAAGAACAGGGTCCTTCTTGACAGAAATCCCCTGTAATGCTAGGGAATGGCTGAGGTAGAGGGCAGTGGTGGTCTGGGACTGTTGATGGGACAGCATGGCTGGGTTGTATGCAGCCATCTGGGCCTGGTGCCAGGGAGGACTCCTGTAGTCCAGGACACACAGTACCAACCCAATAGCCCCCTTTCGGGGCTGCCTGGGGCTTCAGGTACTATAATATAGCACAGCGTACCTAGTGTGGCATTGTCACAACAACTCCACGAGGACACACACCACTTCTCTGCTTAATGATGGGGAAATGGAGGCAGCAAGTGTGGAGGGAACTGTCCCGAGCTCACACAGACTCGGCTGACCCCAAGGTCCCCTCTCCCTGAGGTCCAGCCCACCAGCAATGACAGCGTTGCGTGTGTCCCTCCTACACCAGCTGCCCCTGGGCCAGCTAAGGACGGGGCCCCTGCTCCCACCCCTGGTTCCCAGCAGGGGCTCAGTGCTGCTCACTGTTTCTGGATGTTTCTCTGCATCTGAGGTTGCAGGGGTGCATGGTGAGGTGTGGGAAGGGGAGGGACAGAATTGGCCCGGTCCTCACCGCCCTGAGCCTCCACCTCTGCTCATCCCAGGGGAAACCTGCACAGTTAAGCACTGGACACACGCAGCCTGGCCCCGGGGCGGGCAAGCCCCCCCACCATGGTGCCGGGAGGAGGCCGGTGGGGTGCAGCCCCCCGTGGCCCGGCTCTTCTTTGCAGATCTGCAGGACATGTCCCTGCTGACCCTGAGCACCAAGGCCCCCAAGAACTTCTTCAGCCAGCACCAGCTGCTGCTGCACGTGGCCAAGGCTGAGATGGAGAAAGTGAGAGTGTTCCAGGCCACACGTGAGTCACCAGCTGTGGCCCTGGCCCCCAGGGACACCGCCCTGCACACCCCCAGAGAACCCCCAAGGCTGGGCACGGTCCATGCCTCACGCCTGGAATCCCAGCTACTCAGGAGGCTGAGATCTGAGGATCTCGAAGCCAGCCTGTGCAGGAAAGTCTGTGAGACTGTTATCTCCAGTGAACCACCAGAAAACCAGACGTGGCACTGTGGCTCAAAGTGGTAGAGTGCTGTCCTTGAGCAAAAGTGCTCAGGCCGTGCGTTCAGGCCCCACTGCCCACCAGAACAACAACAGAAAGCTGTGACAGAGCCATCTTGACCACCTCCTTGGCATTCTGAGCTTGATTTCTCTCTCCTCTCCTCTCCTCTCCCTCTCTCTCTCTCTCTCTCACATACAAACACACATAAACACACACTCACGCTCACACTTATACAGACCACAAACTGAGTGTGTCACCCCAGTGTTTGTTCTAAACCACCGCCTAAAACATCTGCAGCTGCTCAGCTGCTCAGCGCCCCCTCCCTGGGGGCGCCAGCCTCGGCTCCTGGCACAGGGCACAGAGCTAGGCGCTCGGTGAAGTCCCTGTCTGCATGTGGCTGGCTGGGCCGGGGAAAGTGGGAGGAGAGCACCCACTGTGTCAGATAGTTTCCACAGAGGGGCACCACTTGCAGAAACCCCGGGGAAGGGCGACCCAGGTAGAGGGAATGGTGGGTGCAAAGGCCCTGAGGTGGGATCTTGCCTCGTGAGTTTGAGGAAGGCAGGGAGTCCAGCCTGGATTGTGGCTCTCGAGGAAGATGAGGGCCAGAAGTCAAGGCCAAAATGAAGTGGATGAGGGCAGAGAGCACCCGGGGGGTGAGCTCAGGGTCCCCGGGAGGAAGGGGGAGGCTGGGCCTGAGCCTCCCCTGCCCCGTCTAGGGGGCGGCCGTCCGTCCAGGTACAAGGCGGTCCTGGGGCCACAGAAGTCCTCGCACTGCCTGAAGCTCCAGGGCGGCCAGCACCGCGTGGACTTCTACGTGGAGGGCCGGGCCTTCCCCGACGCCGACTTCCCCGGCCTCATTTCCCTCGGCATCTCCCTGCTGGACACATCCAACCCGGTAGGCCGCGCTGGCCTGGCTGCCCAGCAGAGGGGACAGCGTGGAGGCCGGGGGGCAGTGGCCGGCGTGGGCCCTGCTGGCCTGATGTGCCCCCTCCTCTCCCCGCCCCTGCAGGAGCTCCCCGAGACCCTGCTTTTCCAAGACAGCGTGGTCTTCCGTGTGGCCCCCTGGATTATGACTCCCAACACCCAGCCCCCCCAGGAGGTGTATGTGTCCAGGTGAGACCCAGCAGGCCAGGGCCTGGATGCCCCTGAGTTCTGGGGACACCACTGGCTTGTGTGAACCAGACAAGCATGCTGGGAGTTTTGAAAAAGCAGGGACAGATGGTCGCCGGCCTGCCGAGGGCCTGCCTTATTCCTGGGGGGGTGAGACCCCAGTAGACCCAGGCCCCCAAGCCAGGCTTTTAAGTCTCTTCAGAGTACTAGAAGCCTCTGGGAATGTGTCTAAATGCACCCTGATGGATGGGCACAGCGGCTCACATCTGTAATCCTAGCTACACAGGAGGCAGAGATGGGGAGGATCGTGGTTTGAGGCCTTGGCCTCGCACTTCAGATTCTCATCTGAAAAATCACTACAGCACTAAAGGGCTCAGTGATAAATGCCTGTCTGGCCAGGGCAAGGCCCCAAGTTCAAACTCCAGGACCACCCAGAATGAACACGAATGTACCTGTTTTGGCTGACCACTGAGCCAGGCTAGGGTCTCTGGGGATGGGGACTCCCAGACCCAGTCCCTGCTGAGCAAGCCGGGGGTCTTACAGTGCCCTCTCCCCTGACTGCTTCACGGGCGGAAGGGAGGAGGGGTCACCCGGGGTCAGGATGCAGGCGGGGGTCAGCACAGGCCGTCTACGGCAGGTGGGCATGCCCCCCCCTCCAGAAAGCCAGCCTGTGTGTCCAACAAGGGCAGAGATGGGTCCGCACATAGGCTTCTTGTGTCCCCCATCCCCAGGCTGGAGTTCCAGAAGTTTCTTTTTCTAGGATTTCTGATAACGAAGCCTTCCTGGAGTCGGTGGCTGCTCTGGCCAAGAAAGCCAAGTGCAAGCTGACGGTCAGCCCGCTGGAGGAGAACATGGACGACCAGTGGATGCAGGTGGGCAGCGTCTGCGTCCACCCTCCTGTCCTCCGGTGGCCAGGTAGGGTCGGAGGGTCCTGAGCCAGGGGGTGCAGCAGCCATGGTCTGTTCACTGCTGGAGCATACCGACCTCAGCTTCCTGGGTTCAAAGTAGACTGGCCACGCCCTGCTCCAGTACTTTCTCTGTGTGTGCAGGTGTGGGGAGACAGGGGGCTTGCACTCTTGCTCATTTTTTTCTGCTCAAGGCTGGTGCTCTACTACTTGAGCCATGCCTCCACTTCTGGCTCTTTGCTGATTCACTCGAGAGTCACAGACACTGCATGCATGCGCTGTTGTACAGGGCCTGGTCTCTACCATGTAAGTTATTGTTTTTACTGAAGGCTGGTGCTCCATCCAGTGCTTGAGCCACAGCTCCACTTCCAGCTTTTTGGTGGTTCGTAGGAAACAAGTCTCATGGGCTCATCCTGCCTGGGCTGGCTTTGAGCCTCGATCCTTGGATCTCAGCCTCCTGAGTGGCTAGGGTGACAGGCCTGAGATGGTGACTGGATTCAGCCGCTCTTGCTGACCCGGGCTGCACGCGGGCCAATTCTCTGCTGTCCCTGCTCCCCTGGGAGCCCTCTGCACCCCACATTCCTCGTCACTATGGTCCCCGTTGTCCCCCCCACCCCTGGTGCCCCCGCCTGCCTCCCTGGCTCTCCCCAGAAGCACCCCTGGGGAGGGGCAGGTCCCAGTTCTCTGAGCTACTTTTTGGGTTCAGGTGTCGGGCGGGGGGTGGGGGAGGGCTCTGACTACAGGGTGAGCAAGGTGATGGTCCCCCCAGCCCCACCCCAGTGCTCGATGCTAAGACCCAGCCACACAGCCTCTCCCCGACCCCCACCAGGATGAAATGGAGATCGGCTACATCCAGGCCCCCCACAAAACGCTGCCGGTGGTGTTCGACTCCCCAAGGGACAGAGGCCTGAAGGACTTCCCCCTCAAACGCGTCATGGTAGGATGGCTGGGGCCCCCGGCTCCCCAAAACCCCTCCCGGCCTGTCTTCCCCCCATCTTCCCCTCCCCCAGGTCAGGTGGGTGGGGCCTGTCCACCCAGGAGCCCGGCATGTTCCTGAGATTGCCCAGCCCCGAGACCGTCCAGCGTGGTCGCCCTGGGCTGACCCAAGGGGCACAGTGGCCTCAAGCTGCCTTCTCAGTGGGGTTTGGGGGTCCCTCGGGGATGGAAGCGTGGTGTCAGCAGGGCCTGCTTGGCTACAAGGTAGACGGATGTGAACTCAGCACAGATAATAACAACAATAACAATAATAATAACTGCATTATTGCGTTTGCTTTCTGTCAGCCCCGGCGCTGACTCACTTAATGACTACCCTTGACAGTAAGGCTCTCGGGGACCCATGTTACAGATGAGGAAACTGGGTCTAGTGAGCAGTGAAGGCTCAAACCCAGCCAGCCCCGCCAGGGCGCAGGCCCCTCCCCACCCTGCCTCTCTGTGGTCCCAGGAAGCCCCCGCCCCTGACCTGCACCCTGAGCCCCAGAGGAAACACAGCAAGGAGTGGGGTGCGAGGTGTGCCAGGATGGGAGGTTTCCTGGGGAGCATCCTGCACCCCAGCCCACAGGATGGGATGGCGCAGTCCCAGTCTGCATGGTCCACTTCCTCTCGGCCACGCCCTGTGCTGGGCCCAGGTGGCAATGGGAGCTGGGGGTGGGGGGCTGTGAAGCCGGCTCAGGTTCCAGCCGGGGTCTCCTCAGCCGGTGCCACCCTGAGCCCCACCCCGCAGGGCCTGGCCCGCCTGCCAGGCTGCGTCTGCCCTGGACGGGCACTCCCAGGGCTGGGCCAGCTGTGTCCTCCCGTGCGGGTGCTCACGTCTTCATCCTAGCTACTCAAGGAGGCTGAGATCAGAGGTTCCCAGTTCAAAGCCAGCTGGGACAGGAAAGTCTGTGAGACTCTTTGGTCTCCAATGAATTACCAAAAAGCCAGAAGAGGAGATTTGGCTCAAGTGGTAGAGTGTTTGGTAGAGTGTTAGCCTTGAGGGAAAAAGCCAAATGAGGAAGTCCTACTACCAGCAAGAAAGCAAAGAAGGGGGGTGGGAAGGTGGCTCAGTGGTACAGTGCTTGCCTTGCATGCATGAGGCCCTGGGTTCGATTACTCAGCACCACATAAGCAAAAAGAAAAAAGCCGGAAGTGGCGCTGTGGCTCAAGTGGTGGAGCGCTAGCCTTGAGCTGAAGAGCTGAGGGACAGCGCCCAGGCCCAGAGTTCAAGGCCCCACCCCCCCAAAAAAAAGAAAGCGAAGAAGGAAGGAGGAAGAGAGGAGGGAGGGAAGGAAGGAAGGAAGGAAGTCAGTCTTGCAGACTTGGCTATTCGGCCCAGGCCAAGCTTTGGGAGTGGCCGCCGTGCCTTGGGCCCTGGCAGTGCCCGGTCATCTCCTGGCAGGCGCTGGTCCATCCTTTAATGCGCCCCCACCCCGTGTCCACCCAGTGTCCCTAATGCAAGCCCCTGCTCCTCCGCCTCAGGGCCCAAACATGGGCTACGTGACCCGAGGGCTGGACTCAGAAGAGATCACGGGGCTGGACTCCTTCGGGAACCTGGAGGTGAGCCCGCCAGTGGTGGTGGGGGAGAAGGAATACCCGCTGGGCAGGATTCTCATCGGGAACAGCAGTTACCCCAGGTAAAGGGGGGCTGCGGGGAGAAGCGGGAGCCAGAGCGGGGATCCCCCACCTGTCTCCCCAACCTGAGAGGGCACAACAAGCATTGGGGGGAGGGAGAGGACTCCAAGAGCAGCTGGGGGAGGGGTGGCAGGCAACAGGGCCAAGGTCAAGTTCCACGCTGGCACTCACGCTGTGGTCAGTGGATGCGGACTTACCGAGCAGCTACTGTACACCCAGAGCTGGGGACATGCATGCAACAGCCGCACCCCTGCCTCTCCGCTTACCAGGGGACCCTTCATGGTATAGTAACGAAGTCAGGGTATTTGAAAGGAGGGAAAGATAAGAAGGCAGAAGAGGAGGGGGACCTCTGTTGGGGTGACCAGGGCGGGCTTCTCTAGGGAAAGGACTCGAGCTGAGACCTGATAACAAGAAGGACAAGACCATGTGCAGATCATGACAGAGTATTCTGGCATGTGCAAAGGTCCTGGGGCAGGACAGAGCTTGATGTATTCCACAACTGGAGACTTGCATTGATGATGGATCAGGCAGTACTTTCTGAGGCTAGGTGCTGATTTTGTGCCTCAGTTTCCCCCTCCCCCACCAATGAAACTGGAATGACAATTCCTCTAGTCAGCTCCTGAGAGATATGAGGATGGCAATCGAGACTCCCTTCCCTGGTTGGAGGAGAGCTCTCCTCTGGCCCCTGGGCACCTCCCCAAGTGACGCTCCTTACCCTGTGGGGGCAGCCCAGACAGTCGGGACATGCACAAGGTGCTGCAGGACTTCCTGGAGGCCCAGCAGGTGCAGGCTCCCGTGAAGCTGTACTCTGACTGGCTGTCCGTGGGCCATGTGGATGAGTTCCTGAGCTTCGTGCCCGCATCTGACAGGAAGGTGGGCTCCAGAGCTGCTTGAAGTGTGTGTGTGGTGGGGGGGGAGTCCCTCCATGTTCCTGGGAGCCACAGAGACAAAGCAGTGCTCACTCCAGTGCCTCTGCCCCAGGGCTTCCGGCTTCTCCTGGCCAGCCCCAGGTCCTGCTACAGACTATTCCAGAAGCAGCAGGAAGAAGGTCACGGAGAGGCTCTGATCTTCCAAGGAATCAAGAGTAAGTCGATCCAGGCACCGGGTGCTCACACCTGTAATCCCAGCCACTCGGGAGGCTGAGCTCGGAGGATGGCAGTGTGAGGCCAGCCTGGGGCAGAAAAGTCTGTTGAGACTCTCCAGTGAATCAACCAAGAGCCGGGAGTGAAGGCATGGCTCAAGAGCACCAGCCTTGAGTGGAAAAGGCTGAGCAAGAGTGCAAGACCCTGAGTTCAAGCCCCAGTACTGGCGCACGCGCACATACACACACACACACACACGCACACACACACACACAGCGTAAGCCCGCCCTGCCCTACTCTGTGCGGGCCCTGTCCTCCCCGGTCACCAGGCCTCCTACTCCTGGTGGGAGCATCCAGGAAGCAGAGGTCTTCTGAATGCTGTGTGCCAGGCACTGGGTATCCTAGCCAGCCGTGAGAGCAACTACAACAGGGGTTTAGGGACAGCAGGTGGACAGCCAGAAGGGCTTCCTGGAGGAGGCAGAGGCCGTGAGGGATGAGCAGGAGCTGGGGTATAGAGGGAGCCATGAGGGACAAGGAAGGAGGAGCTTGCAGATAGTGGGAGCAGTAAGTGCAAAGGCCTGGGGGCCGCAGAGAGCTGGTGTGAGCGGGAGGACAGCCAGGACACAGGCTGGGGCGGAGGCTGAGCGGCCGTGTGGCTGATCGCTCTCACCCAATGTGCAGTGGGGTGCCGTGGGGTTCCCGGCCGACCCGCTTCCTTCCCTTCCCCCACCCCTGCATGGCTGGGACCAGCGTAGGGTTTCACAGGCGGGGCAGGCACCATACCACCGCATGGCCCCAGCGCACGGCTTCTCCCCTCTAAACCCTCTGTTTTTGGAAGAGATTCTCTGGGATATGAGCATGCCAGGCTGCATGGGATTACAGGCTGCCCACAAGGTGCCTGCACCCTGGAACCCCCCCCTTACAGCCGGGGGTGTGGAGTCTCTACCACACCCACCCGAGTTTTTGCTTGTATTTTCTTTTCCCCCTGACAGGAAGAAGACAGCAGACGATAAAGGCCATCCTGTCCAACAAGGTTCTGAAAGAACAGAACTCCTATGCCCAGGTGGGGAGCCTGGGGGGGCTGGGGAGGGAAGGTCCTGACCACATCCCCACCCCCTACCCTGCCCCTGCTCTGGCCCCGCCCCAACCCCTCCCCCTCCCGGATTCTCCGCCCCCTACCGTCCTTTCCTCCACCTTTGCCCCAGAGCTGCATCGACTGGAATCGAGGGGTGCTGAAGAGGGAGCTGGGCCTGGCCGAGGAGGACATCGTGGACATCCCACAGCTCTTCAAGCTCACGGGCAACTCCAAAGCGAGGCTCAAGGTGGTGGCCTTCTTCCCCAACATGGTGAGGAGGTGGCAGCCCCCCTCCCTCACCCAGGGCCTTGACCTCCCAGGAGGAACAGGGGGCTGCTAGAGGGAGGGGCGCGTCTCCCTCCTCAGGTCTGAACAGCTTCCTCGCTCCCCTTCCCCCGCCTTGTGACACTGGGGGATTCCAGCTGAGGCACAGAGAGAGATGGCATCTGACACAAGAGCACACAGCACCAGGACGGGGCTGTCTGGCTTTGGAGCCCCCCCCCCCCCCCCCCCCCGCTGATACTTCAATGGCATCTGGCTAACAGGCTCTTACCAGCCAGGCTTCCTTCTGCTGAGCAGGAAGGGTCAGTCTTTGTGTGTGTGTGTGTGTGTGTGTGTGTGTGTGTGTGTGTGCGCCCATGCGTGTGCACTGGTCCTGGTGCTTGAACCCAGGACCTCATGTTCTCACTTGGCTTTTGCACTCCAAGCTGGTGCTCTACCACTTGAACCACAGCTCCACTTCTGGCTTTTGGGTGATTCACTGAAGATAAGAGTCTATTGGATTTTGCTGCCCAGGCTGGCTTTGAACTGTGATCCTCAGATCTCAGCCACCTAAGTAGCTGACAGGTGTGAGCCACACTGGCTACAAGCAGGATTTTCAAGGCTGCATGAAAGACTTTCTCTCTGGTCTTTCTGGGTGGGTGGCGCAGTGGGGGAGTGAGGTGAGGGGCTGTTTCTGACCAGGGACCCCCGTTTCCTGCAGGTGAACATGCTGGTACTGGGGAAGCACCTGGGCATCCCCAAGCCCTTCGGGCCCCTCATCAATGGCCGCTGCTGCCTGGAGGAGAAGGTGCGCTCGCTGCTGGAGCCGCTGGGCCTGCACTGCGTCTTCATCGACGACTTCGCCCCGTACCACATGCTGCATGGGGAGGTGCACTGCGGCACCAACGTGCGCCGCCAGCCCTTTAGCTTCAAGTGGTGGCACATGCTGCCCTGAGCGCCGCCCCCCCTCTCCCCCCCCCGCCCCCCGCCCGTGGTGCAGCCCGGCAGGGATTCTGGGAAAACTCAGCTCTGCCCAGAGGAGCTAACATAAAGATGTTTTTACTCACTTTCTACATAAGGCTGAAGTTGTCCCTGTCATTCGGGCATGTCCCCTGCTGTCCTGGCTGTGACCAGCTCAGGAAAGCTACCAAGACACACTGGAAGCCAGGTGACCGCTGAGTGGCTTTTGCTCCCAGGTTGTTAGTCGCTCTATGAAATCTCGCAGGACTCTAGTTGGTTCCGAGCTTCTCGTAGAACCCAAGGAAGGGAGCCAGGCATGGCAGCACACACCTGTAATCCCAGCTACTCGGGAAGCAGAAGCAGGAGGATCTGGAATTAGCAGCTAATTTGAGCCAAGTTAGTAGGACCTTGTCTCAAGGACAGATTGAAAAGGGGGTGACATTGTTTCACATAAATGGGCATGTTATACAAAGGGGTTTCAACTATTTGAAGATGACAATAGTAATAAATATGAAGGGTTGATGGTGTGGCTCAAGCGGTTAGACACCTAGGTGAGACCCCGGGTTTAATCTCCAGTACTGGAACAAAAGAAAAAAAGAAAGGCTGGGTGCTGGGGGCTCACACCTATAACCCTAGCTACTCAGGAGGCTGAGATCTGAGGATCACAGTTTGAAGCCAGCACAGGCAAAGAAGTCCGTGAGACTCTTATCTACAACTAACCAGCAAAAAGCCAGAAGTGGAGCTGTGGCTTAAGTGGTATAATGCCAGCCTTGAGCAAAAAGCTAAGAGACAGCACCTCCGCCCTGAGTTCAAGCCCTAGTAGTGGAACAACAACAACAAAAAAAAAAAACTTCCAGCACTGCACTGCTAGCCTGTGTCTCATTATGCATCGTGAGTGTGTGTGTGTGTGTGTGTGTGTGTGTGTGTGTGTGTGTGTGTGTGTCTGTGTCATGGGGCCTAAACTCTGGGCCTGGGCACTGTCCCTCAGCTCTTCAGTTCAAGGGTAGCGCTCTACCACTGGAACCATAGTACCACTTCCAGCCTTTTTCTGCTTATGTGGTGCTGAGGAATAGAATCCAGGGCCTCATGCAGGCAAGGCAAGCGCTCTACCACTGAGCCACCTTCCCAGCCCTCATTATGCACCTTTAAGGCATCTGATGCCAACAATGAATGCCACGAAGCAGAGGCTGCAAATGAGGGGGAAAGAAAAGGCAGGACGGATGTGGAGACAGAGCCCGGCCCCAGCTTAACTTCCGGTGCGCTTCTTCCCACGTGCCCTGCCACCGGCTGAGCTGTGTCCCCTGAAATACAAACATTGAAGTTCTAATCCCCAGTCCTGCAGAATGTGACTGCTTTGGAAGACACTCTTTCTAGAGCATCCACGAGTCCAAAATGAGGTGATCAGAGTCAAATGAGCTCAGAGTGAGCCAAAGACGGGTGCTTAGAGTCATTGAATTTTGAGTCCCACCTGGGGCTACCTTGGCAGGGCTGGGTCAAATGACCCTGGGGGGGGGGAGGTTCCATGCCCACGTGACAGCCAGCCCACAGAGCACGCACACCTGAGGCCAGGAACTCAAACACAGACCCTCACACAGATGAGGCCCCTCATCTTACTGACCCCACGCTCGCTCGGTTGGCAAGCCCAGGGAACACTTCCGACCAACGCCTGTGTTCCGAGTCAAACTCAGGTCCTGGCTCACCCCGGACGCCGAGGACGGCTTTCAAATAAAGTACCTTGAAACATGACAGTGATTTTTGCCACCGCAGACCCAAATCGACCGTTTCTACCCTTTCATGCTGCATTTCCACGATAAACTCCTGCCTCTGACTCGTTCCTGGACACCGAGCTTGATTCACACACCCCCACCCTCCCAATACCCCCATGCCCTTCACGGCGTCTCCAGCCCCTGGCCTTGCCCCCCACCAGAGACCACCCAGTCACAGCCAGGTGGCTTCAAATACAAGATGTGGGCTGAGGCCAGAGATTCTGGACCCAGGGGGCCTCTGGGATGGGTCCCTGGGGTCAGGGGTAGGGATGAGGGTGGGGACCTGCTGCTGCTCTCTGCCAGCTCTTGTGTCATATTCTTGTATGCAGAGCCCCCCCCACCTCTGCCTGTGCTTTACAGAGACCCTGTGACAACATTTGGGGTCCCAGGTCATCTCTGCCTCGAGATCCTCAATGTAACCCCCACCCCCACCCCACGCAGAGTATTTTCACATCCAGGGTGACATTCCGGACAGACGTGGCCCTCTGAGCCCTACGTCTGTGTGAACTTCGGGGTGGGGAGGAGTGGGAAGTTTAACTTCATAAACCGAGTGTCGACTTTCAGACTTTTGCAGTCACGCACCTGTCTGAGATCTGGTTCCCAGACCAGATTCTGCACCAGAGACTCACTGCAGGAGGTTCGTGTGCGACTCAGAACCCCATGGAGGGAGTGTGGGGACCACGCAGGCTTCAACGAGGACCCCTCGGGTTGCAAGCAGCCTAGTGTTTGTACCCCCTCACACACCACATTGGGTGGGCCACCCCTGAAGGGGGACCTAGGCCAGCTGAGCATCTCCTGTGCTGGGAAGACGCTTCCAGAAGGGCTTCCAGAAGGACTTGCTGTGAGCAGGCAGATCTCGTAGCTGGGGAAACACGCCCCCCCCAGAAGGGGGGCCTCACAGGCCCACCCACCAGGATCCATCCATGCTGGATTAAAGTGACCACAGGGCTTGGGTCAGCTGAAGAGTCCCTGGGAGCCCACTGGCTTATTTGGGGGGAAGAAGCAGGCAAGGTCACCTAGTCATTTGTACCGCCCCCTCTCCTCCAGGGATCTTCCTGGGACTGGGGATCCAGTGGTGAAGGGGACTCCCCTCCTCTCCCCCAGAGTGCAGTGTCCTTCGCCTCCTCCTACCAGGTGCCATGGGCCCAGTGGGACAGGCCAAGCACCTGATGCCACCCAGAGGGAATTTGAGGGTTTTCCTGGCCAGCTCTCTACCTCCAAGGAGCAACTAAAGCAGCCCATTCAGGGCTGCTGTACTGACGGCAGAATCCTTCCCTCATGCAGGGATTTTCACTTTGAGGCTTGAACAGGCCTGACCCCTCTCCCTCCTCCCCACCCCAAGTCTTCCTCAGAGCCCAAACTCCAGGACAGCGGGCGGGGGGGGGGGGGTTGGTACTAATGACCAGCAGCTGCAGGGGTCAAAGCAGGCTTCGAACTCAGCTCCCGCCTAACATAGCCATGCCTGATGTAAAACGCAAAGCTTTTCTCCAAACTGGACCAGGAAGGAAGATCAGCAAGGGCCGGGATCCTATGTAGCACAGACTCTTTGTTAGGTTTAATGAATAAGAGGGCTGGCCAAGCGCTCAGGACTCATGCCTGGCATCCTAGCTACCCAGCAGACTGCAATCTGAGCATTGTGGTTTGAATTCAGAGAGTGCAGAAAGGTCTGCCAGACTCCGATCTCCAATTAAGAGGCAAAAAAGCCAGACGTGGGGTTGCAGCTTAAGTAGTTGAGCACGTGTAGTTATGAGTGAGAAAGCCAATCAAGAAGCATAAGTCCGTGAGTTCTAGCACCAAAAACATAAGAAGGGAGGGCTGGGGCATGGGCAGAGCACCTGTCTAGCAAGCACAAGCCCTGATTTCAAACTCCCCCTCCCCCCCAAATCCTAAGCCTGTGTTCCACTGAGATGGACGGCAGCTGCCACCCATCCTGCCTCCCACTCATCCATTCTACTTACCTGGTGTTCCCCGCCCCGCCCCCCCCATTGTTTGGTTGACAGCTGTGGGCAACCAGCTCACCTGAATCACCAGGAACTAGATACAGCCAACAGCCCCTGTGTCGTTCCCCGCCCCCACTACTCCAGGGAATTGCAATGTTACCAAACTTCCCTGATGGTTTTTGTCACCACCCTGGCCTAGAGGTCCCTTGGTCCAGCCCTTTGCCCAGCGCTCCTCATTTACTTCCGGAAGCACGCACTCTACAAGTCCTAGATCTTGGGATGTTGCGTCCCAACCATGGCTCCAGCTTATCCCCCTGACCTGCAGATATTTCTGCCTGATGGCTTCTAGAAGAGTCTTTGAATGAGTCTGTTCATGCATCAACTTCCCACCCTCCTCCTCCTCCCGGCTGAGGGCGGCCAGCCTTGGAGAGCACAGACACTGCTGATAAATCACCCCTTCTCATCTCCCCTACCCCTGTGCACCCCACCGAGGAGCAGCAGCCACACCTGGATGGGGGGGGGGGTGAAGCCTCCCTCTGCTTAATAAGGGGGCGGGTTAGAGAGGCCCACGACCCATAGCAGGGGAGAGCGGGCACACGCTCGGGCCTTCTGGGTGCTGCGGTCGGCTTGGATAATCCTACCATGCCTGTCCAGCATCTCATCCATCTGTCCTTGGACAGCCCTGTCCACGCCGTCTGTGTACTGGGCATGGAAGTCAGCGTGGACATCAATGGGTAAGGCTGGCACTGTGCTCACTGTCCCTGAGGATCAGGGGTTTTGGGGGACCCCAGGTTCGGGTCCCTAGAAGTCCTTCCCTTTTGTCACTGAAAGCTGGCTAAGTCCCTCGGCCCAGGGCTGGCCGGGCAGCGTGAGGGAATCAAGGGCCTTGGCACCTCTCTGCTCCTCTGGCGGGGGCTGATCCTGAGGAGGAGGCCAGGCAGCCCTGCCTTCCCCGGCGTCCTGGCTTAGATCTCCCTCGTCCCTGGCCCTCTTCCTTTTCTTACCAGGATAGCTCTGGGGCTCAGACACGGCCGCTCCCTCCTTGGGAGCTGGGGATTTGTAAAGGAACCTGGATGAGGCCGACATTGTTAGGGCCTTTCACCCCCCCAGCAGCAGCAGGCCTCTGCTTCAACTTCCCAGGGGCCAGAGGGCTGGGGGTCACCCCCACTCTGCGGGTGCCTGCCAGCCCGCGGAGGGACATCGTCTGCGCCTGACTCTGCCTTCAGGTGCGCCCCCACGGAGTGCACGTCCTTCACCATCCACGGCTCCCCCGGGGTCCTCATCGGCAGCTCGAGCACCGCCTTCACGAGGAAGGAGGACACTACGGTCTCGCGTCCGCTCCCCAGTCCCGCGCACGTGCCGCTGCAGATGCTCTCGCTCAGCTTCAGTGAGGACGAGGACAAGGTGAGAAATGGGTCTCACAGAACACGGGGCTGGTCTATGGGCTCTCTCTGGGGGGACAGGGGGTGGGGGAAGAGGTGCCTCAATGGGGCTCAATCTGGGCCGTAGGGCTAAACTTGCCCTCCCCGTGCAGTCAGAACCGGGTGGGGGGGTTGGCGCCCCGCTTTTATAGCTGCAGGTCCCCAGGCGACCCTGGCCCGGAACTTGAGGAGTGGGGGAGGGGGAGGCCTTGTTGGCAGCTGGCCAGAGGCTAATGTGGCTGATGGGCGTGTGATTCACTCCCTCTCCTTAAGTGTGTCCCTGGATGAGTCTCCTCTCCTGGGCTCAGCTGAGGAGGCTCAGCTGGGCCTCACCCACCTGAAAGCCGGTCAGAGCTCAGCCTCTACCACCAGGAGGGGGCAGCAGAGGGGAGGCCCAGCCTTGGAGGAGCAAACAGGAGAACCTGCAGGCCAAGGCTCTGGATGGAGTTGAAGTGGAAGCCAGGGCTGAAGGGTGGTCTCTGGAAGGAGTGGCTGGGACATGACTGGCCCAATCCCCAGGGGTGTCCCCTCCTCCAGGCAGCTGGAGCTGTCGGAGGGCCTGCCTGAGGGAGTCAGGAGACAGGGTCCCAGGAGCATGACAGCACTTGGGCGATGCCCTGGCAGCCGGGATCTCTTCTGGGCAAGGGAGGGAGTAGACACCCCTGAACACACCTGCAGGGCCAGTTGTGCAACAAGACATCAAAGGGCCGGGGTGCCATGGCAGTTTGAGTGCCAGGTCCCCCAGGCCAGCTCCCCAGGAGATGTTGGGAACGCGACACTTGAACCATGAATTCAAGGTCACGTCCCTTGGCCTGTGGCTCTGCTCCCTGTGTGCCACAGATCCTGGTGCTGTCTCCACAGGTGGAGGTGTCCTACTTCTGCCCCAATGAGGACAGCCCTGCCGCCACCGCTGTGCTGTACCTCACCAGCATCTGTGAGTACGGCTTCCCCTAGGGACCCGGCCCCCCCTTCACAGGAGAGCGGAGGCTTTGCCCAGCCAGAGGAACCGAGGACCCGGCCTATGGCTGTGCCTCCTGGGTTCCTGAGCCGATTGCAATCGGACCTCTACCGCTGCTATGTCTCCTAATACCTCCCTACTTCAGGGTCTGCGGCCTCCAATGCCAGTCCCTTCTTGACAATTCTATCCACCTGCTCCTTCCCAGGATGCTTTGCAGGACTCTTCCTCCTGTGGGCCAGGGAAAGTCTTCCAGGCCCACCTGGCTTAGATGCCCCTCCCCCATCCCATCCTCACCCCCAGTCTTCAGTCAGGCAGTGCCGATTAGCTATCGCCTATCACAACATAGTTTCTTAGGTGTCTAATGTAACAGAGGCCAAATCAAAGTGGTTTTCCTTCTTTCAAACCTACCTTTCTAGTAGCTTCCCTGGTGTAGTCTATGGTCGCTTCGGCCTGCTTGCTGCTCAGGCTGGGAACCTTGGAAATGCCTTTAGTCTCTGCTCAGCCTGTCAATCTGTGGGTCTTGATGAACTCTCTTCCCATGCTCTCACCCTGGTCTAAGCCTCCATCCCTTGTCTCCATTGGCACATCTCCCATTGACGCTGCTGCTTTTGCTCTTCTGTAGGGCTTGGCTTGGTCTAGCAGCCAAGTGTATGCGTGCGTGTATGTGTGAGAGTACAAGATAGTTCTGGGGTTGAACTCAAGGCCTTCCACCCTTGCTTGGCTTTGTTTGCTCAAGGCTGGCACTCTACCACTTGAGTCACACTTCCATTTTGGGCTTCTTTTTTTGCTGGTTAGTTGGAGATTAGAGGCTCATGGACTTTTCTGCCCCCAGCTGGCTTTGAACCTTGATCTCCAGATCTCAGCCTCCTGAGTAGCTAGGATTACAGGCATGAGCCACCAGTGCTCAATTAGTGCCTCAGTTCCAAGTCTTCAACTGCTTTTGTGTTAGGCAGATCAAAGCCAGTGGCTAGCCACAGCTTGTGGGTCATGTCCAGTCTGGATGGTTGAGATGCCCCATTTGCTTTTCAGACGTCTCCCTGGACGCGGACATCTACCGCGATGGGCAGCTGGAGATGGCAAGCGACAAGCTGGCAAAGGTGAGATGCTGCCCAAGAGCCGGTGGGGCCCACCCCTGCCCCACCCGACCTCCAGAGCCTCGGTTACACTGCATGTCAGGGCTGAAGTCGATTAGTGGCTTCGCCCCAAGCCAGGTTTCCAGCAACTCTAGATACTCCTCACCTGGTCAGCTGGATCAGGGTTCACTGCCAGCCTGGTGGGGCGCACCTCTTCAATTTGCCCCACTTGCCTGGCACTAAGCTAGGTAGAGCTGGGAGCCTGGATCAGATCTTCCCTCTCGGCTCCTGGCCTGAGGTGGACACCTCAACCTCTGTCCTGACACGTTCCTAGGGCAGAGGGGAAAGGCTGGCTCTGGCCTTGGTGGGCGCTGGCATGGGAGGAGCTGAAGGTATATGTGGTATCTTCCTGAGTTGATATGCGTATCATTTGCAGAAAAAGTGGGTGTGGGGGCCCAATGGCTGGGGCGCCATCTTACTGGTGAACTGCAACTCTGTCGATCTGAGCCAAGTCACAGACAAGGCCATCTTCTCCAAAGGTGAGCCTGCTGGCCCCTCCAACCCCTCCTCAGCCAGGCCCCACCCCGGACACAGGCAGAGTTCCTTTGGGTGGATCAGGTCTCCAGTCTTGAGAGTTGGGTGGTGGTAGAGTGCTTGCCTAGCATAGGTCTTGTTTTTGTGCCAGTACTGGGGCTTGAACTTGGGGTCTAGGCACTGTCCCTGAGCTGTTTAGCTGGTATTCTTACCACTTGAGCTACTGCTCCACTTGCAGCTTTCTGTTGTTTGGTTGGAGATAAAAGGCTCATAGACTTTTACCTGCCCAGACTGGCTTTGAACTGTGATCTCAGATCTCAACCTCCCAAGTAGCTAGGATTACAAATGTGAGCCACTGGTGCCACTTTGTCCTGTTCTTGAGAGCCCTAGCACCCTCCCACAGGCATACCACATGTACTGATCTCCTCCACAGCTGTTTTGTGGTAACAGATCATGTGGCTTTGTGGGAAGAGCCTAGGCTATCCTGGGGTTTGAACTCTGGGTCTCACACTTGCTAGACAGGTGCTCTTCCACTTGAGCCATACATCCAGTCCTTTTTTTGGGGGGGGCTGGTCGTGGGGCCTGAACTCTGGGCCTGGGCGCTGTCCCTCAGCTCTTCAGCTCAAGGCTAGCGCTCTACCACTTGAGCCACAGCGCCACTTCCGGCTTTTTTTTCTTTTTGCTTATGTGGTGCTGAGGAATCGAACCCAGGGCCTCACGCATGCAAGGCAAGTGCTCTACCACTGAGCCACCTTCCCAGCCCCACATCCAGTCCTTTTGCTCTGGTTATTTTTGAGATAATTCCTTTTGGACCAATTAAAACATGCACTACCACCTGTTTATGCTTCTGATTGTAGCTGGGATGATGGGCATGTACCACCATGGCACAGATTTTTTGTTTGTTGTTGTTGAGATGGGAGTCTCACTTTCTTGCCCAGGCTGGCTTGGAACTGTGATCCTCCAAATCTCTTGGCTTCTGAGTACCTGGATTATAGGTGTGTAGCACTGAGCCCAGCCAAACACATAGGCTTTAATGTCAAGATGTCAGTGTTCCTTTGCACCAACCTCCACCTTGGTTTCTGTCACTTCCAGCCCTGGGACACCAGGGTCTGAAGTTGGTGTCTTTTCTTTTGCCCAGAAATAAAGACTCTGGCTGAAGTGACTCTGACTGTCCAAGGCCCCAGCAGCACCTTAAAGAACTATGGGCTGGTCCTCCACACCTCTGAGGAAGAGGCGAAGAAGATAAGAATCTACTGGCCCCAGGGTAAGGATCCCAACTCCAAGTCTTCCTAGGCCCCCTGGGGGCTGGGATGAGATGGGCCCTCACCACCTCTAGGTCTCAGAAGGGTCCTGCTGTGAGCCCAGAGCTTCAGACCAGGGGCTGCCATGGAAGGAATTGCGTCCTGGAATTCTCTGCTGCCACCAACGTAAAATGGAGCTGTTGGCACCTATTCTGTAGGATTCTTGCAGCTAGGAGAGGAGCAATTTGTTCTAGCTGATAGGACAGCCATCGCCTTAGAGAACCTCTCCTCCCAGTAGCCTCCACCCGAGGAGTTATCTGTATTTGAGTGTGTGTGTGTGTGTGTGTGTGTGTGTGTGTGTGTGCGCACGTGCGCTCATGCACACCTGCGCCAGTACTAGCGCTATAACTTGGGGCTGTAAGTTGTCCTTCAGCTTTTTCCCTCAAGGCTGGGATTCTACCACTTGAGCCCACAACTCAACCTGGGGCTTTGTGGTGGTGAATTGGACAGAAGAGTCTTCGTGGACTATTTCCTGCCCAGGCTGGCTTTGACCTGAGAGCCTCCTGTCTCAGCCTCCCGAGCAGCTAGGCTTGCAGCTGAGCTGGTAGGGATGAAAGCTGTATTCTGGAGACCCTCGCTATACTGAACTTTCAAAATTCAGGCGCCAAGAAACCCAAGTGGTGTGCCTGTCCTGGCGCCTACATCCCAGGCCGCCCTTCACCCCCTGCCTGCCTGCCTCCCCTGGAGGTAGGCGCTCACCCTGTCCTGCAGCCTGCTGGTCGGGTGCTGGGTTAGCAGTAGACATGTCTGCAAGTCACCCTTAAGTCTTGACTTGCAATGGCTGGTGGCTTGGTTGAATGCCTGAGTTTCTCAGGTTGAGATTTAACGGAGTCAGAGTCTATGCTTCCTTCCCTACTGATGTGTGGGCCTCAGTCTGTCATCCTCCATGCCAGGGCCTCTAAGTCCAAATGCATTGCTGAACTTGGAATCTGAGCGCATGCAGAACAGGCTACGTGGATTGGTTCTCATATGCTAGGGGTCAATCATGGAGAACTGGGTTGTCTAGGCCTAGCTTAGGCTAGGAGGGCTACGCTAGCTGAGTCATCCAGTATAGAAAGCTCAGACTACATGGTCCCCAGAAGCCTCCCAGAGGGTCACACACTGTACTTAATCATGAGTACCCTGCATAGTGACCCTCCTGGTCCAAGACAGGGACTTGGACTTGGGATCTGATGCTTTTGCTCCTTGGCTGGTGCTCTACCACCTGAGTCATACCTCCAACCACAACCTGTTCTCTCATTGAAAACTCCTATTGGAACCAGGCACTTGGCGGCACACAGCTGTAATCATAGTTAGGAGGCTAAGATGGAAGGATCAAGATTCAAAGCCAGCTCAGGCAGGAGAGTTGATGAGACTACTGGCTTTTTTTCCAGCAAATTAGAGATAGATCTGAAGATGGAGCTCATGGGGTAGAGTTACCAGCCTTGAGTGAAAAAGCTAAACAAGAGGGTAAAGCCCCGAACTCAAGCCCTAGTACCAGCACAAACAAAATGCTTGGGAAGAATGCAGGTTAGGGAGAAGTCAACATGGGCTTTCACAAAGACCTTCAAGCGATGCTAAAGTTGACATAGTCTAGAATCTGAGGTTTCCAGAGAAATAGACACAGCAGACAGCTGGAGAAACAAGAACCTTGAAAGCATGGTAGCACGTTCTACAGGAGTAAGATGGCCAAGGATATGGCAGATGGTGATTGGTGGGGGCTTGGCGGTAGACTCTGGCCTAGCCTGTGCAGGCCCTGGGCCATCCCCAGTAGAGCTAAGGTTGCCACATCCTAAAGTGAGACCTTAGGTTGTGGCAGCTTGTCTTGCTGTTGAGATGAGATTTAAAGACCTGGCAGAGCTGAGGTATTTTTCCAGAAGAGTAGAGGAGGAGAAGCTGGGGTTGATGGTGCGTGGAAGAGAGCAGAGGCGACCCGGGCACCTATAATCCTAGCTACTCGGGAGGCTGAGATCTGAGGATTGTGGTCCACTGTCATCCTGGTAGGAAAGTCAGACTCAGACATCAAAATACCAGAAGTAGGGCTGTGGTTCAAGTGGTGAGAGTACTAGCTTTGAGCACCAAAGCTCAGGGACAGTGCCCAGCCCCTGAGTTGAAGCCCAGGGCCAGTGTGCACACACAGACACACCAGGGTCTGAGAAGGGGAGCAAGCGATGAGGAAGATGTCAGAGCTGGCATGGGCATAGACTGAGTGAAAGGGTCAGGAATGGCCTGTCTGGAGATGGCATGTGGACCGAGATTATTGGCGTCGACACCTAAGGTGGTACAGAACGTTGAAACGAGGTTAAGGATGTTTTGTTCTGTGGCGTCCAGGACCAGGACGGCCTATAGAATGAGGGCAAATGGCATTATATGGTGGCATGTGCTCCCTAGGAGGTGATTCTTGGATGATCTGTGCCACCTCGAAGCCCAGTGGTTCATGGCAGGTAGAAGAAAGCGTGGCCAAATTACCAGCATTTGCCCTATGCCCTGAGGATCCCTGGAAGTCCAGCCCAAGGGTGCTGAGCCCAGAGAGGACCGGGGCAGGAAGAGGCTCTGTTAAGGTGACTGCTGTCTGACCCATAGGGCGGATGGTTCCCCCTCCCTGTCTAATAGAAGGACACCACACGCCATAAATGAACTGCAGTGGGAGGATACATAAGAGCCTGCGAGCTAGAGCCAAATCATCTTGATCTGGTCAGTCCAGATCGAGGCAGTGAAACAGTGGTTTTTGTTTAGTGGTGGTAGGGATGAAAGCCAGGGCCTTACTCATGTTAGCTAAGTGCCTATCACTAGCCATAACCCCCAGCCTGCTCAAAATGTGAACTGTGCTCACACCTGTAATCCTGGCTACTCGGAAGGCTGAGATTCAGAAGACTGAGGTTCAAAAGCCAGCCTAGGCAGAGAAGTCTAAATGGCAAAACAGTGAGGCTTAGGGATGGCTCAAGCGGTAGAGCACTGGCTGTGAGCAAGAAAGCTTAAGTGTGAAGCCCAGTTTTCAAGTCCCCTTCCTGCTATAAAGAGTAACGAGGACTGGGTGCCTGTGGCTCACACCTGTAATCCTAGCTACTCAGGAGGCTGAGATCTGAGGATCACGGTTCAAAGCCAGCCTGGGCAGGAAAGTCTGAGACTCTTATCCCTAATTAGCCAGCAAAAAGCTGGACGTGGTACTGTGACTCAAGTGGTAGAGCAGCAGCCTTGAATAATAAAGGTAAGGGTTTGCCACAAAAACGTACACAGATGGGTCCCTCTTGACTTGCCTGCCCTGTGGTGAATCCTCTTGAGAGGAATGGCCAAGAGGAGCCTGGTTCTTCAGGGCAGGTGGTGGTCTTGCGCTTGTAGCTGGGTTCTCACTGGACTGGTGACCAGCCATGGTCCAGCCCAGGTCTCTGGGAAGGCCTCATTATCAAGAGGGCAGGGTCTGTGCTGGGGAATCCCAATGGAAAACTCTGCCTTGTCCAGTCCTGTGTCTTTCCCCCAGGAGACCTGGTTTGATGGGGAGTGGGGGGTGGGGGTGGGGGAATTGAAGCTTCTAGTTGCCAGGAGTGTTGTCAGCCCAGCACCTGAAGCAAGAGGGGAGAGGCTGGGCCTGTGGCCAACATGGGGAGAGGGAGGAGGTCTGCCTGGAGGTCACTGACCATAGCCAAGCAAGAGGCCAGTGTCTGACCAGGAATGGCTGTGTATGTAGGAGGAAGTGGAGGCCTGAGGAGGTGGTGACCAGATCGTTCTGGGTCTTGGTTGGCCAGCATAGTCAGTTAGGAGTCCCTGGGGCAAGAATCCACCCGAAGGCTTCGTACAGGGAGCAGGTGTCTGCATGGCAGCTGTCATGTCAAGAATGGGTGAGGAGGGCGGAGGTCACCATGCATCCAGGCAGGAGGTCGGAGTGGCCAGGTGGGCAAAGCTGGAGGCTGTGGGTCAGATGATCTCGTGATAGATAAAGGCAAAGCTTAGGATCTAGCCATGGGAGGCCCCCATGGTGTGTGGGGTCACCTGCTTTTCATCTTAGGAACAGATTTCAAATGAGAGACCATAAGAACCTTGCATTTTGTTGGTTTCATTTTGGTGGTTTTGTGCTTGTCTTGGGGCATGAATTCAATGCCTGGACGCTGTCCTTTAGCTTTTTTGCTCTAGGCTAGTGCTCTACCATTTGAGCCACAGCTCCACTTCTGGCTTTTTAATGGTTAATTGGAGATGAGTCTCATGAATTTTCTGCCTATGCTGGCCTTGAAACTTGATCTTCAGATCTCAACCTCATAAGTAGCTAGGGTTACAGGGGTAAGCCACTAAGTACCTGGCTAAAATCCTGCTTCCTTTTTTTTTTTTTTTTTTTGGTCAGTCGTGGGGCCTGAACTCTGGGCCTGGGCGCTGTCCCTCAGCTCTTCAGCTCAAGGCTAGCGCTCTACCACTTGAGTCACAGCACCATTTCCTGCTTTTTCTACTTACGTGGTGCTGAGGAATCAAACCTTCATGCATGCAAGGCAAGCACTCTACCACTGAGCCACCTTCCCAGCCCCTGCCTTCCCTCTTTTTTTTTTTTGCCAGTTCAAAGTTTGAACTTTAGGCCTCACGTCTTGCTTGGCTTGCTCATTTGGCTGGTGCTCTACCACTTGAATCATGCCTCCAACCTAGCTTTTCTCTAATTGGAAATAGTCTGGTAGACTTTCCTGCCTAGGCTGGCTTTGGGCTGTGATCCTCAGATCTGTCTCCTGAGTAGGTATGATTATAGGCATGAATCACTGCCCAACAGACCCCATATTTTCCTAGTGCTAGTCCTGGGGCTTGAACTCAGGGCCTGGACACTGTCCCTGACCTTTTTGCTCAAGGCCAGTGCTCTACCCTTTGAGTCACAGCTCTACTTCTGGCTTTTCTTTTTTCTTTTTTTTTTTTTAGTAGTTTACTGGAGATAACCTCATGGACTTTCCTGCCCAGGCTGGCTTTGAACTGCGATCTTCAGATCTCAGCCTCCTGAGTAGCTGGGATGACAGGTGTGAGCCAGTGGCACCCAGCAGACCCTGCCTTTTCTTTGGAGCTCTTAACTTGGGAGTGGCATCTATCCTTTTTTTTTTTTTTTTTTTTTTGGTCGGTCGTGGGGCTTGAAATCTGGGCCTGGGCGCTGTCCCTCAGCTCTTCAGCTCAAGGCGAGCACTCTACCACTTGAGCGACAGCGCCACTTCCAGTTTTCTGGTGGTTTATTGGAGATAGGAATCTCACAGTCTTTCCTGCCCGGGCTGGCTTTGAACCGCGATCCTCAGATCTCAGCCTCCTGAGTAATCTATCCTTTCTTCTACTGGAAGTTTGACTTTCCCAGCTGAGGCTGCCTTTGTACAAAAAAATCTTGCTTTGAGGACTTTACTAGATTCCCCCCTAAAGCTGGATTTGTGGATCAGATGTAGAACCACCTGCTGCGAGTCTTTGCCCCGACTGAGCCCTGCAAATGAAGGTATTTCCACGTCCCTGCCTCCTGACAGATCTTGGGCCTTCAGTGGGTATTGGTGCCTAACTGTCCGATCTTTAGAAACAAGAGCTGTTCAGCTCCTGCCTGCCTGGAGCTCAGCCTGGCTCCTGGCCCCAGGCGGACGCCAATTCTCCACCTAGCCAATGGGAGAAGCAGCCCTGGGCCGCTTCAATGGTCATTGTCCTTCTGTCTCTAGAAGATGCCCAGTCTACATTCAAGCTGGTGGTGGGCCCCAGCCAGCATTTCCACACCTTGTCACCCCTGGAGAGTATGGAGCAGACCTTGTATGCGGAGGCCATTGACTTTCCCAGCAGCAGCTTTTCGGGTCTGATTTCCTTCTCTCTCTCTCTGGTGGAGCAGCCTCAAGACTCGGTATGTCTGTTGCCAAGTAGGTAAGGAACCCTGGGATGGGGACCGAAGGGGAGGAAAAGCATCTTCCACACCTGGGCGGGCGGTAGGATGTTTCAGTGGAAGACAATGGGCTTCAGGCCTCGAGGAGGGGAGGGGAGAGAGCAGAGCCAGCTTACCACTGACCTAGTCTTCTGTCACAGGCAATCCCCGAGACCCCGATATACAAAGACACTGTAGTGTTCCGGGTAGCACCCTGCATCTTCATGCCCAGTACCCAGATGCCTCTGGAGGTCTACCTGTGCAGGTAGGACCCCCATCCCCAGCCCAGGACTGCCTACACTGCACCCTAAGTGTGCAGATGGAGTTGGTTAACTAGACAGCTCACTAGGAGACCGCATCTGTCCATCTAAGCTGCCTGGACCCCCTTCAAGAGTCTGGGCAGGCCAGGCGCCTGTGGCTCATACCTGTATTCCTAGCTACTCAGGAGGCTGAGATCTGAGGATCATGGTTCAAAGCCAGCCCGGGCAAGGAAAGTCCGTGAGACTCTTATCTCCAATAAAACCACTAGAAAGGGCTGGGAAGATGGCTCAGTGGTAAAGCGCTTGCCTTGCATGCCTGAGGCCCTGGGTTCGATTCCTCAGCACCACATAAAAAGAAAAAAAGCTGGAAGTGGCGCTGTGGCTCAAGCAGAATGCTCGCCTTAGCTGAAGAGTGAGGGATAGTGCCCAAGCCCAGAGTTCAAGCCCCACAACCGACCAAAAAAAAAAAAAGTCTGGGCAGGCATGGAGGAGTTTGAGGGTCCTAGATACAGCAATGCATGGTGTGGTCTCATCCATGGTGTGGGCTGTGGGTTTTTTTTTTTTTTTTTTTTTTTGCGGAAATTGGAACAGGCAAACAGCATGATTTCAGGCAATATAAAATACTTTGGGATTTCAGTCTTCCTGGAATCCTAGTTACTCAGGAGGCTGAGATGTGAAGATTGAGGTTCAAAAATAGCCTGGGCAGGAAAGCCCATGAGACTATTTCCAATGGATGGGGACGCTTGAGTCTCCCAAAAGGGTGGTATTCAGGCACCGCTTGACCCAGTTCAGCCACCGATCATCTGCGAGATGGGGAAAGGGAAAGGATGGACAGCCCACCTTGAAGGACCTGGGTCTGTCCTTTGGCTCCCCTCCCCCTTACTCGATGCTGTCTCTACCACTTAAGTCACAGCTTCACTTTTGGCTTTTTGCCTGTTGATTGGAGATAAATATTTCTCATGGACTTTCCTGCTCATGCTGGCTTTAAACCTCAATCTTCAGCTTCCTGCATTAAGGAATACAAACATGAGCCACTGTCGCCTAGCTCTTTTCTTGTGTGTGTGTGTGGCGGTACTGGTGGTTTGAACTTGGGGCCTTAAGCTTCCTAGACAGGCACTCTACTGCTGAGTCATGCCCTTAGCCCTTAGCACCCCAATTTTTGACACTTTAACGAGTATGGCCTTGTTCACATTCAAAGCACAGGGATCCATTTTGTTCATAAAACTGGAAGATGGGAATGGAAAGGTGGCTCAGTGGTAGAGCGCTTGCCTTGCATGCATGAGGCCCTGGGTTTGATTCCTCAGCACCACATAAACAGAAAAAGCCAGAAGTGGTGTTGTGACTCAAGTGGTAGAGCGCTAGCCTTGAGCTGAAGAGCTGAGGGACAGCGCCCAAGCCCAGAGTTCAGGCCCCACGATGGACAAATAAACACAAAAACTGGAAGTTCTTCATGCGCTTGGGGCTTTAGATTCCATATGGACCCGCAGTGGTGGCGCTGTGTGTGGTGGTGCTGAGATGCCAGGGGCGTTCATGATCCTTCCGTGGTCCCCATGCATCTACAATAACCTTCCTGGTCACCTCTAGAGACCACTTAGCTTCTTGGGGAACAAGAGACTCCACCAGTCCTGGGGTTGGAGTTGGAAGAGCCCCCGGGCAGGAAGACATGCAGGGGATGACTGATGGACAGGCGATAGGGCGGGGCTTCCCTGGGCAGGCGGTGGATGGCTACTGTGCTCACCAATGGGCTGGCAGAGGCCCTTGGCCCCGCCCTCCGGGACAGGGTGGTTGGGAGCAGGGAGGTCAGAGGCGGCTTCCTTTCCCATGGCAGAGAGCTGCAGCTGCAGGGTTTTGTGAGCTCAGTGACAGAGCTGAGTGAGAAGATGAATGTCCCGGTGGCAACTGTGTATGAGGATCCCAACCGCCTAGGCAGGTGGCTCCAGGTAACACCCTACTTGGGGACACATGGTGGTGGGGGGAGGGGCGTCAGGCAGGGCCACCGCACATGTGACCCACACAGGCTCCATGACCCCTCTTTCATGGAGGGCTTTGCTGAAATAAGTTGGCAAAGTCCTGTGAACATGAGGAATAAAGCTTAGAGCGCAGCCCCCTACCTACCCCCTTGCCCCTCACCCCCAAACCCTGGGTGCCGTAGGCTCCGATGCCCTCACTGCAGGCTCTGCATAGCGCTAGGCCCAGAACCACCCCGGCTCTGACAACACTGGAGCATCTGCCACGGGCTGGTGCACCACGCTAAGGCCAGAGAGAAGGCAGAATGGAGCAGGTGAATGGGTACCTGGGCTCCAGCAAGGCCCTGGGCTCAGAGCACAGTGAGAAACCAAAAGAGATGGTCAGTTCTCAGACCCACCTAGGCCGTTCAAGGAGGCTTGGAAATCCTTGAATGAAACCCAAGAAAGCAGGGAACTACTTGTGCAAGGATCGCTGTCAAGGAGGGCTGGGCACCGTGTGAAGCACAGGCCAGAGGTGGGCAAGAAATCTAGAACAAGATGCATTTTGCTGAAAGGGAGGACACATCAGTGAAAGGTTGGTTTTAGGTTTTAAAAGGACACCCTACAGGGGCTGGGAACATGGCTTAGTGGTAGAGCGCTTGCCTAGCATGCATGAAGCCCTGGGTTCGATTTCTCAGTACCACATACACAGAAGAGGCCGGAGGTGGCGTTGTGGCTCAAGTGGTAGAGAGCTAACCTTGAGCACAGAGAGGCTCAGGGACAGTGCCCAGGCCCTGAGTTCAAGTTCCTGGACTGGCAAAAAAAAAAAAAATCACTCTAGAGGGGAGTGGCTTTGCGTTCTTATAATCCCAGCCTTTGTTTGGAAGGCTTGGGAGAATTCTATGTTTGAGGCCAGCCTCCTGCCCCTGAGAGGGAAGTACAATTTACAGGAAGCAGTGAGGTCCTTTTGCGCCTCTCAGGGAGCTGGGCATGGGCAGGAAGGTATGACGACCTCACAGTCCCTCCCTGTACCCTCTAGGACGAGATGGCTTTCTGCTACAGCCAGGCACCCCACGGGACCATCTCCATGGTCATCGATAGCCCTCGGACTGCCAAGCTGGAAGATTTTCCCATGAAATACTCACTGGTATGTGTGGGGCTTGGTTTGGCTGGGCTGATAGAGTCCAGCCTCTTGCTGCTGTCCAGTGCTGGGGGGGGGGGAGAGGGGAGGGGTGATGTGACAATCGAGAGAAAGGAAGAGTGGGGCTTGCAGCCACCCCCTCCTAATGCCCCTGTCCCCTCTCCATCCTCCAGAGCCCCGGTATTAGCTACATGACCCACTCGACAGAGGACCATCAGGTGGCCAGCCTGGACTCCGTGGGGAACATGATGGTATCTCCGCCAGTCAAGGCCCAAGGGAAGGATTACCCCCTAGGCAGGATCCTTATTGGCAGCAGCTTTTACCCCAGGTGAAGTCAACAGACCGGAGGTTGCCCCAGACGCCTTCAACAATCGAGGGGAGCCAGGCACTGGAGGCTCATGCCTGTAATCCTAGCTATGCGGGAGGCTGAGATCTGAGGATCAAAGTTCTGAAGCCAGACTGGGCAGAATGAGGCTCTTCAGCAAAAAGAGAAGTGGCAGTGTGGCTTAAGTGGCAGAGTGCCAGCCTTGAGCAGAAAAGTCCAGATGAGGGCAGAGTTTGAGCCCTGGTACTGGCACAAGCACACACGTGTGCGTGTGTGCGCATACACACACAGGCAGGATGGGGAGTTCTGGTAGACATCAATTTAAGCTGAAGCAAGGGTCCTTGAGTCTTCTCACATGAACCAGACTAGTGGTAGAAAAAAACAAGCTGTTCTTTCCTGGGTCAAGGTAATTGAATAGAAGCAAGCACAATTCAGTGTGGGACGTTTATTTCCACCAAAGAATGTGGTTCGATTTCCGCATGGCCATTCATCTGAAGCCTGCTGACAGGTGAATCTGGGCTTGATGTGGGAGCATCTGGTCATGTCCTGAGCTAGGTCAGAAGTAAAGGGTTGTGAGCATCCCCATTGCATGGCACAGCCTCCTCCAGCTGTGCCAGATCAGATGCTTAGCCAGCCGCCAGCTCAGACCCCATTCTTTCCATCTTCTAGTGCCATGAGCCGGACCATGGGCAAGAGCCTCCAAGCCTTCCTCTACGCCCAGCAGGTCCAAGCCCCACTGGAGCTCTTCTCAGACTGGCTGATGACTGGCCACGTGGATGAGTTCATGTGCTTCGTCCCTGTGGAAAACAGCAGAGACACAAAGGTGGGGAAGGGGGTGGAAAGGGTTTAGAGGACAGACGCAACAGGGGAGCCCCTTAGAACCTTCTAGGGGGCGGGAGGGGTGTAGCTTCTGATCCCTCTTGGTTTCCAGGACTTCCGGCTACTGCTGGCCAGCCCCAGTGCCTGCTATGAACTGTTTCAGAAGAAACAGAGAGAGGGCTATGGAAATGCGACTCTGTTTGAAGAGGTCAGAACTGACCAGCTCATTTCTAATGGTAAGGGAACCCCTTCGCCATACCCTCCTAGATGGCCAGCCTCAGCAGAAGGGAGATAGGAGAACCTGACTGTGGATGGGGTGCCTTTGGGGGCACCCAGCACCAAGGGGGACTCTGCGGGAACTGGGGTCCACACAGCTCCAGAAGTGCCGGGCATTTGGGTGGCACATGAGAACTTCTTTACATAGCATGTGGTGTGCATGCATGTGTGCGCATATGCACACAGCCCCTTGCAATACTGACTTCCTTCAGGGGGTGCTGGGTTAGGTGTCTCAGTCCCTTAAAGTACCATGTAAGTGGACACATAGGAATTGTGTGGCTGGTGCCATGGCATAAATGTAGGAACACATAGCCCAAGGCCAGTGGCTCATGCCTGTAATCCTAGCTACTTAGGAGGCTGAGATCTAAGGATTGTGGTTCAAAGTCAGCCCGAGTAGGAAAGTCCATGAGACTTCTCTCCAATTAACCACTCAAAAATCAGAAGTGGAGCTGGGTGCCTGTGGCTCACACCTGTAATCCTAGCTACTCGGGAGGCTGAGATCTGAGGATTACGGTTCAAAGCCAGCCTGAGCAGAAAAGTCCGTGAGACTCTTATCTCCAATAAACCACTAGGAAACCAGAAGTGGCGCTGTGGCTCAAGTGGTGGAGCTCTTACCTTGAGCTAAAAAGTGCAGGGACAGCGCCCAGGCCCAGTGTCAGAAGTGGTGCTGCGGCTCACAGTGGTAGTGTCAGCCTTGAGCAAAAGCTCAGGGATGGCGTCCAGGCCTTGGGTTCAAGACCTAATGATGTCACATGCACAAATACACAAGTAGGAATATGAAAGTGTACCTTTCCCAAACAAGGAGAAAGGATTTTCTCCAGAAAGGATAGTTCTCTAGACCCTCAAGATGTGAAGTATAGTCTGAGAGTCAGTGGATTTGTGTCTTGGAGGTAAACAGAAGTGTGGGATGGGCTGGAGTGCCGGTGGCTCACACCTGTACCTCCAGCTACTCAGGAGGCTGAGACCTGAGAGGATCATGGTTTGAAGCCAGCTTGGACAGGAAAATCCAGACATTTATCTCTAACCAGCACAAAGTGAAGTGTAGTACAAGAGCACCAGCCTTGAGCAGAAAAAAAAAATATGAGGCCCTGTGTTCAAACCCTGGGACTGTGTGGGACGTGCACCCCCGTTCAGGCCTCTTGACCAGTTGGGATCCTCCTGGCCACAGGAACACAGTAGAAGATGGTCTTTAGTGTGGACCATGACAGTCACCCCAGAGCTGATGTGCAAGTTGGCATCCTTGCCCCAGAAACAGCAACTAAGGAATGAAGTTAACGTGTCTCTCTGGGCTGCACAGGCCTAGTAACGGCCAAGGGGACCAGCTGAGGGGCCCAAGGCACCCTGCAGCTATGTTCTGGGCTACCTTGCTCAAGGCAGGGTCATCACCTGCTGGCAGTAAATCTGCCTGGGATTTCGGATGCAGTCCCCCCAGGACCAGCCAGGCCACTCAACCATGGTCACTGGTCCCAGGATGCAGCCCATTGGCTGCATCAACTCTGGACGGTTCTACCCATTCCTGACCCTCCCAGGCCTTTTCCTACAGGGCGCAAGGCCAAAACCATCGATCAACTCCTGGCTGATGAAAAGTTGAGGAAAGAGAATGACTACGTGGAGGTAGGCCGGGTTGTGGGAACTTGTCCCAAGAAGGGGCTGGCATTGTGGGCTCCCTGGGAAGGGTCTGGCCTGCCCCTACGGGGGTGGGGGTAGGAGGCAGCTGCCAGGCCATGGGTGGCCTCCAGGAGGGATCTAGACTTCAGGGATGGGGGAGGGGGAAGGGGGAGAGACTGGACCTAGTGGGAAGGATTGGAGGTGGCCAATCAGGGACCAATTCAGTCCTGTGGGGGCAGTTTGCCCCACCCATCTCCATTCATATAAGGCTGAGTGTCAAGACCACTTGTCTCTTCCCAAGTCAGAAAAGCCCTGACAGTCTGGACCAGCTCCAAATTGAGCACTGACAATGCTCTGGTCATTGTGTATGATGTCTGAGGCCTGGGGTGACACTACAAAATAGAACCCATCCTGCCTACAGGACAAAAAGGCTCAGAGACTAGGCAGCAGTCTGAGATGAGGTTGAGCTGAGTCTGAACCCAAGTTCCCAAGTTCATGTTCGTGTGTGTGTGTGTGTGTGTGTGTGTGTGTGTGTGTGTGTGTATTATTCTGGGGCATGAACTTGTCCCCGAATAATTTTGCTCAAGACTCTATAACTTGAGGCACAGCTCCACTTTTGGATTTTTGCTGGTAAATTGGAGGTGAGAGTCTCATGAACTTTCCTGCCTAGACTGGCTTTAAACCATGATCCTCAGCTCTTAGCCTCCTGAGTAGCTAGGATGACAGGCGTGAACCACTGGCACCAGGCTGGCTGTGCTACTCTTAACTTACTGGTGTGCTTTCCTAAGGAAGATCAGCTGAGCTCAGATTTCCTGACAGGCCCGCGTTCCACCGCCCACCTTCCCCTCATCCTGCTGTTGCAGTTCTGAGGTGCCACGTAGGGGTCGCTAGGCCCCAGACCTCTTAGCTGACTCACTGGCTTTGAGAAGTAGCGGCCCCTGGAGAGAGGGCCCCGCTTCTGGGAGGAAAGACAGTTCTAAGGAGGGAAGGGCAATTTTTGCCCAAGGTGTCGTGGCATCAAACTGGCTTTGCTCTGGATCCTCATGGCTCCCGGGCAATGTGCGCTCTGCCGCTGTGCCCTGTGGAATCGGAAGAGGCCACCTGAACTGACGAGCTGGGTATTGGCTGGCCAAGACAGTGTCTCTGAGCGGCTGGCTGAATGTTCCTGTTGTGATACCCCATCTCCAGATCCACGGGTGCCCAGGGACTGAGGAGAACGGGGAGGAGTTCAAGGCGGGGACTGGCTACTTAGGCAGTTTCCTGGGCTTGGGAGCCCCTGCTTTGTTCTCTGAATTACCCAAGTCCTCACTCTGGGGGTGGGGGGGGGTGGGGAGGGAACCACAAAAGGGGCAGAGTCAGGGCTGGAAGCTGCCCAAAGCTAACTGGCCTGCGCTCCTGCCTCCTAAGCCCAGGCTTTTCCTCAGAGGAGGCTGCTGTGTTTATCAGGGCCTGTGGGACTCCTGCATGCACACACAGTCTCGGTCTCTCGGTGTCTTTCTGTCTGTCTCTCTGTGTGTGTCTGTCTCTCTGTGTGTGTCTGTCTCTCTGTGTGTGTCTGTCTCTCTGTGTGTGTCTGTCTCTCTCTGTGTGTCTGTCTCTCTGTGTGTGTCTGTCTCTCTGTGTGTGTCTGTCTCTCTGTGTGTGTCT